TATATAACAACTGGAAAAGTGTTTCATTGAAACTAGATTTGATTATGTGCCCTCCACCTTTTTCATCAGATCAAAAAATGTTTTCCCTATCAGATAAAACCTAGAAAGGCGAAACACGTAATTGAATTTAGTTTCACTAAACCTTTTCCCATTTGTCATTTCTTCAAAATTGTGTTGCGATTCTATATCCTATTTTATGCACTTTTTTTTAAAATCAGTATCACCCCACCCCCCGCAAGACAATATAGGCACTAAAATACAGGGTGTGGAAGAGTTAGGAAAAGAAACATTAGTAATGAGTAGAAAGAGAAAATAGCAGTTAGGAGGACAGTAGATAGGGATTGACATTGCATTTAAATTTTTGCAGATTAAAGTTGGCTGGAAAGCATGGAACTGGAAGGGAGTTTCACAAGTGAGAAGTGCAAGAAAAGAAACTGTTAGCATAGAAATTACAGCTGCATCTAGCTACTCCAACTGTAAATTGATGAGATCTCGCTGCCAGTCTAGTATTGCACTTAAATTCACATGGTCTAGGTACCATAGTGAAAAGCTCATAACTACCATGAAAGTATTCACACTTTTTTCAATTAAAGGGACACAACTCTTTAACTTTTTAATATCTCATCTTCTTCTATATAAATAAATGTGAATGTCAGTGTGTCACACTTTTCAACTTTACACCTAGAAGCCATAGCCCAACATATCATACCATTTTGGAATTAGGCCATGATCAAATTAAAAATGTTTCAGGCTGGATCTGGACCTGAAATCATGAAATTTTGGATTCCCAAGTTTTCATTACTGCAATTGTTTTACATGATTTTTTTGTGCCAAATTTTTCTGTATGATAACAATTTTTTTAACATGGAAATAAATTTAGAAATAATCAAAATTGTGAGATCCAGTGAATGTCACCCACATAATAAAAGTAATTGTTTGTATGGAAAGTAAGGACCTACATACATCCAATTGTCTTTAAATTAAAATGGCAGCAGAAGAATTATCATTGAACTTTTAAAAGGTAAGCTTAAATATTAATGTAATGCTTAAATGCAGAGATCAACAGTATGTCTCGCAAAAAGAAATCTCTGCCAACAGAGGACTAGATAGCAATCAAAAGAGCCGAGGCTGCAGTGACCAAAAGAAATTTCTGTGCAAATGAAAACCCAGATCAAATGGCAGCCAGGAGAGCTTCCAATGCTGAGAATATGCAAAGACTTAGGGACTCTGAAACTCCAGAGTAAGCCAAAGACCCAATCAATAAACCTCTGCAACAGCTGACTTAAATGCTGCCCGATAGGGTGGCTTTTAACCGTGTGTATATATATAATATATATATATATATATATATATATATAAAATGTGTGTGTGTATATATGCCACAGCACTCTCAAAGTTTTATTGGGGTATCAAAACAGATAGCTCTACACCTGCACTAAATTGGGAATTGGTTGCTAAAATCAATCCATTTCCAGGCAAAGGGGACTGGTGCAATTTATGCTTACTAGAAAAAATATTCATCCTATTAATAACTAAAATCTACTTAATAAGTGGAATGAGCTTATGTTAAGTTGTATGCATAAAAAGACATTCTCTTAAAATATTGTAATCTTGGTTAACTTTTCGTCTAAATTTAATTTTCTGTTTGCCCTCATTTTAGGACATAACACCGATTATCTCTATTTAATAAGTCAAATGTGTCTTAAGAGCTGTGTCCCTCATTCAAATTTTAAAAGTGCTTCAATTCCATTTTTTTTTTTTATTGACTCATACCTGCACCACATTTCCTCTTAAACCCCAGTATTGCTTTAGTACTATTTTTGTACTATTCTAATTTTGAACTATGAATCAGTGTCTACCCCATGAGCATCTGTATATTTTTTTAAAAATAAACAATAAGCTATATCTTGTGCCCAATGAGTTGGGTAACCAATGAAACTTAAGTTACACACCAAATGTAAGTATATGTGTATTTATTAATCTCTCTCTCTTTTTTATATATATATATATATATATATATATATATATATATATATAGAGCTGGCCACTGTATTCCGTCTACTAGGGCAGCTAGCCAATCCCTATTGCAGACACTAGCTCGGGTACATTTGTGTTTGCTCAATACCCACAGAGCCCACCTGTGGTTTAGGGCTTTTTATATAAAAAAAGTTTTTCTAGTATTTTGGTGGGCTGATTTAAAATCCAACAGACATCAATGGCTCTAAATATATATATATATATATATATATATATATATATATATATATATATATATACGCAAATCCCATATTAGTCGATTTAAAACAGTATCGATAGGATAACCTAGAGCCTTATACATATAAATATAGATAACTAGACTCGTTTTGAAAAAACCCTCAATTTTTTGATTTGCTAATCAAATCAATCTCAAGGGGAAAAAAAAGGTTTTAAAAAAAGAAAGAGCTACAAACATGAACTTCTGCCGACAAAAAAATCGCACAGATGCAGGTCTGAAGCCCAAAGAAAAAACCCGATACGAGTAACAACTAACTAACAAAAGAGCTCAATACAACGTGAGAGCAGACCTAGATACACCTAGTGAGCCAGACAAACCTACCTAGGTTTCACCTAAGCGGATCGTCAGGGGAAAGTTTGGCCAAACTTTCCCTGACGATCGTTAGGTGAAACCTAAAGGTAGGTTTGTCTGGCCTACTAGGTGTATCTCTCTCTCTCTCTCTCTCTCTATATATATATATATATATATATATATATATATATATATATATATATATATATATATATATGTTAAGGAAAAATAGATAGAAAATCTGAAAATATAAAAGTGGACATTGGGGTCAACACCCACTGGCAACAATCTGTTTCATGTGAGTTTCACATAGATGTATAATTGCATCCATTGCACTAGAAATATTAACAGTTATGAACTGATTAATCAGTGCAACTCTATTTTGTTGTATTTACTGCATTTTGATCACTGTGGTCTTTAGCTTTTTTTCTCTTACCTGTGCATAAAAATTCTCCTGAGGTCATGAGTTCAATCCTTGGGTAAGGTAATGCAGAAATAGACATGTTATATATGTTAAGGAAAAATGGCTAGTTAAGAATCCCATAATGTAAAAGGACAATGGAGGTGACAGGTGAAAGAATAAAAACAACATACAGGATCAAATAAAAGGTTTGTGTATATTTTTATAAGTTTGTAAACATTTCTTTGGCTACAATTGTAAGTTGTATATGAATTGGGTAATTTTAACTGTATAAAATACTTGGTTGAATTATGGTGGCCTTTGAATTAAGTGAAGTGAAATCATATTTCAAGATGTTGTGTCAGAAGAAAACTAAAAGAAAAGTTGTTGATTAAATCTGAATGGGGATTGGAATAAATTGAAAAAAAAAAACTAATAAAAAAAAAGTGTGAAATCAATTGCAATATATGAAATTGGCCAGGAATGGACAGAAAGCCACAGTCTGGTTCTCAACCAGTTGATAACTTAGACAATTAAACTATTCACAACTTTGCCCACTTGCACTCTAGTTTTGCCTAATTAGGTTGACAGGATGGATGATCCTACATAGCTTCAACCTTGTTTCTGAAAATTATGAAATTATCAGAGCCAAAAAGCATATTTATTTTAAATGATTTATGTAACACCCATACATAAGTGACTAAATTTGAATGACTCCTGCTGAAGCATTGTCAATTATTATTATTTTCTTCTTTAGACAATAGTGTCTTTAATATATCTTATAAAAGCAATTAAAAGCTTTCCAAATTAGATAATGTCATAGTTTTATTGCATTTTTTTTTTTATGATTTGGAGAAGATTTTTGGGAAATGTGTCACTGAAAAAAAATTGAGGATTTACATTCTCCTGCTTTTAACTAATAAATACATTTTGCAATCAAAATTTAATAAAATTAAGTGGGGTGTAACATGTAAAAAAAATAAATAAAAAAAAATAAAATATATATTTTTACTAAGAGTTTCTCAAAAAATATTTTAAAAATGATTATATTCATTTGTGAATAAGTCCTGAAATCTTCATTAAAATCCAACAACTATTTGATTTTTGGAAGAATTTCCAAATCAATTTTTTTTTTTAACCAAAATTTTGAATGTGTGCAAAAGCATTAAAAATTTGAATAAAATAATAATAAAATGCTTTAGTCTTTCCTCTTAATAATAACATATTTTGACAATAAAACTTCATAAAGTTTGGGGCTTTTTTTTTTTTTTTTTTTTTCAGTGAATTAGTTGAGGCACCTATTTTTATTTAACATCAGAAAGAGACAGTTGAAATTTCTCAGACACTTAATAAAGAAATAGAGCATAGAAAACCTGACCCAACATATTGAAGGCAAGAGAGACAAAAGGAATTGGTGCATAACTTACCTAATAGGCTTGGTTTGTGTTAATGGTTGGTAGAACAGAGATTAGAAGAAATAATGAAAAGATAAAATTTACTAAGAGCTAAAATGGGCAGGAAATTGTGGAGAGCCATGATTACCTATATCCTGAAGGGATACAGCATATAGAAGATATATAATGATGGTCTTGTACCCCATGTAATATATGCATGCATAGGTTGATGGCATCTCTGGCTTTATTTGAATATAGAGAAAGTTTGAATAAAGGACAAGGTTTTCAAATTGTCTGTGTCAAATAACATCATTTTTTTCTCTTTTTTTTATTTCAAATTACCCCCCCCCATTTTCAACAGTGTAGAATTTGCTAGTTACTTGAAAAGCAGGGAAGAAAAACCTGAAGGCAAATACTTTACTGGTTGTATTTATATATGCATTCTCTGACTGAATCCTGTAATTTAGAGTATGTCATTTATTGCTTATGGTATGAAAAACTTCCTTTGATCATGCCAACCATGACCTTTATTCAAGTCACATTATTGATTTTATTACATTTGTTTTCTGCTTTGATGCATATGACTGGATCTAATTTTATATTTATATTAAAACTAATTGTTGACATTTTTTCTTTGCAGAAGCTCAGAAACATGAATTACGACCACTCTATCTTGATGTTCAAGCCACTACCCCAATGGTAATTTTATCCTTCCATTTTAAAAAAAAAAAATTTACATTTCAGCATATTTCATCAACACAAAGAGAAATTTGGATGTTTCTGCATGACATAATTGTTAATGAACTAGTCTGGTTGGTCATTACTACTAAGTATTAAATAGTAAAAGAATTTAAATAGCTGAAAAGTCTTTTAACAGAAGGCAGAAAGTATGTCACTGAAATCTGAAGGTGTATTGGGATAGTAAAAGATGCCTTCCAAAATCTAAGCAAAGTATTAAGAAACAGAAACATTTTGTTAGAAACAAAGAAAAGAGTACTGAACTGTTATGCAATATCAGTCACCCTATATGGCAGTGAATGCTAAACAATTGCCTCACAAATGAGGAAGAGGCTTGAGGCAACAGAAATGTTTCTACAGAATGATGTTGAGAATACTATGGACCGAACACGTGAACAACAATGAAGTTTGTGAGAAAATGGAAACAAAAAGGAAACTTATACTTAACACCAGGAAGAGATAGTTGAAAACTGTAAAGCACATAATGAGAAAAGGGGGCTTAGAAAATTTGATACTCCCAGGACAGATTGAAGGAAAGCAACACAAAACCTGAATGCATGGTGGAGCAGGGTTTGGGATAAATAGACAAAAGTCAAAATTTACACAGTATTTAAAACATCAAATTATTAATCTACAACATTCCAGATTTTAAGCATATATAGATATTAATTTTTTAGAAATTTTATACTTTTCAAATAACACTTTACAATTGAGCTGAGGATTTTTATGTCAAATATTTGCATGCATTTTGTGTCTGCTGTGACATCTGTGCATGAGGTATAAATAAAAGGACAATGTGTTAAGTAGGCAGTCCAAGTGAGAGTGAGTAGCAGCCAGAAGTGACATTCTGAGTTGAAGTCATTAAAAATCTTCCTGTATCTAGTATATTCCTTGTATGAAAACTGTCTTCATAAGAAGAAACTAGACAAAAAATGTTTTTGTCTTGTAAATCACTACTGGAATATAACATTTTGGATTTACATATTTATTTATTTTATTTTATTTTCCCTTTTTTTTGTGAACAGGTTGAACATTTGTACAAGGCTAAATTTTTACCTTATCAGTTTTCTACATATTCAATTGTTTTCTCTGAAAGATTTTGTTTGCAACTATATTAAAGTTATTTTCAAAACTGTTCTATAATGTAGAATCATCATCATTGAGTTTTTTTCCCAATGTTTGGGTTCAAATTCAAGTAAAGGTTAAGATTAGAATATTTTACACAATTGTACCATCACAGCTGAAAAATATAGCTGTTATGTTCTGCATCAAAAACTGAATACTTTTATTCACAATCTGCCCATATAAAAGATTAATAAATTCACCCCAAGCAAGGCAATAATCCCACTAAGACACAAGAGGCTAGAGGCTATTGGGAGTGAAAGAGAATGAAAAAACTTTAGAAGGAACCAGAAACCTAATCCTAAACAGGAAAAAAAGAATAAAATACTTTTATAGTAATTGTTTTAATCAACTTTACTTTCTGGTACCTAGAATTTAAGCACAGTAACCATAAGTTCTATGCTAACAGTTTCTTCTGGTTTCTTGCCTCCCAGTCAACTTTGATCTTCAAAAATTTAAATGCAATGTCAATCATTATTTTTTATTCCTCTCTCATTAAAATAGTTTTTCATATTCTCTAGCACTCAGTAACCCCTTGCATCCTAGTGACTTTATTGCCTTGCTTGGGGTGAGAAAAAAAAACTCTATTTATGTCTATTTTAAATCCTTCTGTTTTTCTTTATACTGTATTAGAACAAATTGAAAAGCGTAACAATGAATATATAGAATTAATGAATGTTTAGCAAAATAGAATTTTTTTTAATGTTTATTTATTTATTTGTTTGTAGTATTTGTGTACATATATAGTATTTTTCTTTTTATTGCTTTTGTAGGACCCTCGAGTTCTTGATGCTATGCTTCCTCACATGGTTTCTTATTTTGGCAACCCTCACTCTCGCACACATGCCTATGGATGGGAGAGTGAAGCAGCAATGGAAAATGCCCGACAGGTACAGAAACAAGCTCTGTTTATCTTCTGTGTGTAGCTTAATTAAAATTACTTGAAAGGTTTATAACAAGTTTATAATTCCGTGATGCAAGGCCTTTTATAAATATTGTGCAAAAATAGTTGAATGACAACTACTTATATTACTCCAGTGATACCTCTTAAAAAAAATTACCTGTGTATAGTTCTAACATTTTCGCCCCAGCCACTCAACCTCCAACATCTTACCCTCTGGGTTGAGGTGTCTACTCAGTCCTAACCGAACTTAAGGGAGTGGCCATAGGTCCCCTGAGCATTTGTAGATTATTCGACCAGTCCACTGGTTTAATCCTGCTTCCTGCTCATGTTTTGTTTGGTTTGATCCAGAAAGCAGAAGTGATGTTCATCCATTCATGGTCGACTGAAGATGTAGACATGGCTGGAGAGTCTGTACTAAGAAATTTAGGATGCAGCAAAAAAAAAAAAATTTAATATCTGCAGAAAGCTGGACAACCAATTATTCAATGATTGAATTGTTAATGTCTTTTATATAGCAGAAAAGAATAGTATAGAAAAGAAACGGGTTACAGAAAAGAAAAGTAATTGACGTAAAAACGCATACACTGGATTCTGGACAAAGAGAGAGTGTTATGATTAACTTGTTAAATCGTCTCAGCACAATATACAACTCTTGCGATGGGGGAATAAGATTTCTGTGCACGGCTTAAAGTTTATAGTGGCGTTCCTCCTTAGCAGTAGTAACAGTAGTAGTAATATTTGTGGTAGCAGAAGCAGCGGTACTTATATCAACAGCACATGTTAGCGGACGCTTCGTTCCAATCTCTGATGTCACGTTCTCTCTTTGAGTCTCCAACTCGACTCTCCACTGTCTCTCGCCCAACTTTTGCCCAGGTTAATTCTCTTCTATCTCTCTCTCTTCCATCTGCCTCTTTTTCAGTATAACTACGTGTTTGTATAGAAAAACCCGGTTGGTCATAACCGACCCTTGGCCCTACTACTTTGCACACGATTATCACAGGGTTTTGGCCATTTCAACCAAAATCATGTGAATTCTAAAGGTCCTTCTTGCTTACTCAGCTCTATTCCAAGTTTTAATCAATAAAAATTATTTTGACCATTTCCATTGTCTGCTAATGACCCAGTTTCAATGGGTACAGCTTCTGCCCTAGATCAGATTTTCCATCAGTAAACAAAATGCTCTGATCAATTTCGTTAGTCCAAATCTACTCCAATTTCACTAAAAAAAAATATACATGTGTGTGTGTTTCCCAGACTCTCTCTGTCACATAGTGTAACCTCCTATTTTTTTGCTTAAAAACTGATCTTAAAAACTTGCACTATACTCAAGTATATATGGTACATCTGGCAGGATGTTTTCCCAATCACTACAATCTTGACCTTTTCAAGTCTAGCATTAACTCTTATCTTTTCCCTTCACATTCTTATAGTAAGAAGAAAGTTTCATTCAGACAGCTTCTTCCTAAGAACTGCTGTTTTGTGGTACATTTTCCTAATCACTACACTCTTGACTTTTTCAAGTCTAGCATTAATTGTTATCTTTCCTGCATAAAGACATAGATTTCACTTCTTGTCTTTTCTCATACTTATACAACACCAAACAGTTGCTCTCTGTCCTGAGTGGCTGTTGTATTGGGCAAACATCAGTATAAAAAAAGGTTCTGAGATCTGTCAGATGTCATTCTACAGATCATCCAGATGTGCATAAGACACTTGAAGATCATTGTCTGGTAAACTCTTCTTTCTAAAATTCAAAGAGTTCATGAGGATGGGCTTATATGGCAGTGAATTTTGAACAATCTCCTCACAGAAAAAGACTTGAAGCAACAGAAAAGTTGTTTTAAAAAAAATGCTGAGAATACCATAGACCAAACATGTGAGTAACGACAAAGTTCTGGAGACAATGGAAACAAAAAGGACACTTATACATAACATCAGGAAGAGAGAATTGAAATTTCTGGAGCATGTAATGAGGAAGAGTGCTTAGAAAATTTTATACTTCCAGGACAAATGAAAGGCAAGTGGGACAGAGGAAAGCAATAGATAATCTCCTACAGGTGAGCTTTATTGAAGAGATCATGGAGCAGAGTTTGGGAGAGATAGACAAAAGTAAGAATTTATTAAGAGCTACAAAAGACAGAAAGTTGTGGAGAGTCATGATCAGGAAAGAGGGCTTGGAAAATGTGATACTTGCAGGACAGATTGAAGATAAGAGACAGAGGAAAGCAACACATAACCTACCTGTTAAGCTAGAGTGAATAGATAGCAGAGCAGGGTTTAGAAGAGATGGCAAAAAGTCAGTTATTAAGGATAGGAAATTGTGGAGTGCCATGATCGACAATCTGCTGAAAAGATATGGCACATAGAAGAATCATTTGGACATAAAGAGGATTGATTTGACTTTGATAAGGTTCACTTCATTTCTTTACAGTTGCAAAGGAATTTCACTAAAATTTGTGAATAAATTTGATAAGTGTCATACTTGATTATTTAGATGTGGACTATTATCTTCATCTTTGTTGTTGCTATCACAATTTTTTGCCTGTTGTGCTCTCTGTCCTTCATTAGGCACTTGTTGATCGAGGTAACCTAGATAAAATTTTAAGCCGAACCCTTAAATTATAGGGTCTCAGCTATGGGCAAAAATAAATATTTTCTAACTCAGTTTCATTGTTATGCCTCATTTGTTTTGTTGAAAAACTTGAATTTTTTATGTTGACAGTGCCAGCAATACATTTTTATATAAAAAACATTACTACTCAAATTCTGCAGTTGAAGCCATAAATTGGTATTGCATCTACTTGAAATTGTTTTGCATCAACTGGAAAACTGTTTAATTTGAAGGGATAGATTAAGTAAAGTAAGTTTGACTCAATGGACACGGGTCAAACAATAACTAGTCCTGGGTACAATGATATACTACATCCGGCAGCAAGGCCTCTGATCAGAAGATTGGAGGTTTTGAGGAATGTGGAACCACCTTTTAATTGCTGTTGTTCCCAGGTTTGCCCTGACCTGGGGTAGTAGCACCTGTTAGGGGTCTCAGCTATGGGCAAATAGTGAACTCTCAAACAAAAGCAAAACAATATGAAAGTATAAAAGTACATTTTTATGTTGATAGTGCCAGCAATACATTTTTATATAAAAAAAAACATTACCAACAATACATATTTATAGTAAAATTACCAATAATACATTTTTAAAAGAAAATGACCAGCAATACATTTTATCTGCAGTTGAAGCCATAAAATTATGTTTAAAATATCTACATTTTCATATTAAATAACCTATAGAGGTTGATATGACACTAAACAAAATCAACCAACTAACATGAAAGGATTTTCATGACATTAATCCATATGATAACCTATATTCCAAAATATAACTTTAACAAAACTACAGCATAAAACGCACATATCAACACCTCTAGTAATGATGTCTACATAAACATGTATATGCACAAAAGCTTAGTATCATTTACCATGTATTCAATTGTGAAAGCAGAATAACATATATAATATTTTTATTACTTCAAAGATCCCTAAGAGAATTAAAATTAAATTTCAGTATTAAATGACCCATAAGGACTTGATATGCCATTAAACAATCAAATCAAATTGAGCAATAACTGAGTAGCCCTAAATAAGAACTATAGCATTTCAAATTCAAGTTGGGAATAATCAAATTCAAGTTGGTACTACCCAGGTGTAAATGTAATGTTTACAATGGGTCCACAACAGATACTAGCCAGGTGGCTGACAATGCCCCTTGCCATGCTTTGTTGGTATAACATATTTCTTATGCCTCGGACCATATAGTCCAATGAGGAATCTGATAGAAGGAGCATGGTCAATTCTTAAAGCTGATGTAAAATCTGAAGTAGCTTTGAAGTTTCCTCAAGTTCTTGCAGGTGAAGGATGGGGAAATGCAACACAAAGTGAATTTAGCAAGTGATTGCTAATAATATACCTCTAATAACCCTGCCTAAATGTACTGCTCTGCTGGCACATGTTCAGCGATTTATGCAGCCAGCCTTGGATCTTGAGAATATGAATTTTTGACATGCATGAGTACATTGATATTCATAATTCATGAGGTAGTGACAATAAATATTTGCTAACTCAGTTTCATTGTTATGCCTCATTTGTTTTATTGAAAAATATATTTGCCAACTTGAAATTGATTATACCCAACTTGAAATTGAAATGCTATAGATGAAATATTCTTAAGTGGTCAGTAGAATGAGAACACTCTACTCTTGTAGAATAAATAAAGGGTTCAGTTCAAAAATTCCTTGAAGGTTAACTTGATTGATAATCACCTAATGAAGTCTGGAGGCACAATGGCTAAAATGTGATAACAATAACAAAGATTAGTTTACAACATGCATTGTAAATAATGATAACTTTTCACTCCAGAAGTTCAAGCAGAAGTTATGCTTGCTGTTTTTTATTACATTACAGAAAATAGTATTGGAGCCTTGTAAGAATTCAACAACTATTTTGTGAAGTCAATAGAAATGTCTGCAAACTTGAACCTTCATGTTCACAAAAACAAAATGTGAAAAGCATTGTTTTTCCCTTGACACCACTATTATTTTAACTATCTTCACTACTTGGAAATGTTTGCTTAAAAAAAGCAATGATTAGAAGTGTAATAAAACCTAAACATAGGAAAGTGATTTTTTTCTCTCTCTCTCTCTTTTTTTTTTTTTCATTGAGAATTTACAACATTCTAAAAACTAATACAATTAAAACTGATGCAATGCAATATTTACCATTTACCAATTTATAAAGAAATAAATATGAAAAAAAAATTTATTCATAAATTTATAAACATTTAGTAAATTATTAAAGTATGTGAACTAACTATAAGGAAATCTTTATTACTTACCATTTAATAAAGTTTGAATCAATTGGCAATTATCCAATGTTTTGTCAATCATTCCAATAAACAATATAATAAACAAATAGTGTAAATAAACAATCTAATAAATATTGTTTATTATTTTTGTTGTAAACTCTCAAGAACAAAGACAATGTGTAAATTCACTTTCATCATATATTTAGGCTTTTATTTTAATTCTAATCATTGCTTTTTAAAACAATAGACATTGCTGCTATAGTTAATGATAGTGGTATCAATGGAAAAACCGTTTTTTTTTTTTGTTTTTTTTTTATACTTTTGTGGGGAGGAATTAGTCCAAATTTGCCAAAATGTTTTAGTCTTTCTTTGACAGTCATCAGATTAGAAACAAATTAGACCGAAAAATGGAGCCTTGCTGCCAGATCTTGGTTGGAGCTGCACCATCTTCACTTTCCAGTCAAAATAAAATGCAAAATTGCTTATATAGACATGTGGATCAATGATTAATTTTTTTACTTTGTGGCCTACTTCCTACAGATACAACATTGCAAGCCAATTGCTACTCTGTTGCCATTTCTATGGTAAATGTTCAGATCAGCTCCAATCTTTAGTTCCACCATTTCAGACCTTTTACAACAGGTAGGACATGTCATGTTACTTCCCAGAGTTGAATCATCCTCGCTTCCACCATATACTAAATATAAAGAAAAAAGTTCCAATCGAACATTTTCCCATGAACAGAATCCCATGTGGATGCTTCCCTAATCACTACAATCCTAACCACTTCAAAGCAAGAGTCTGTCATTATCTATCCTCCCCATCCTCAATCTTCACTTCCTACTACTTCCTCTTTTTTTTTTTTTTCCTCCATATCACACACCTCATTCATCATAAACCCTTTTAACAGTAACCCTCTGCACTACAATCTTGACCTCTTCAAGGCAAGGGTCAGTTGTTATCTATCCTCCCCATCCTCAATCTTCACTTCCTACTACCTCCTCTTTTTTATTCATATCACACACCTTATTCATCATAAACCATTTTAATCATAACAGACTTACCATATCCTGCCTGTGTGAGTGAAAGATTGGAGGGTTGGAAATAATTCTTCTCCAACAAGAACGCTACTGAACTCTATCAAGACTGGAAAGCAAGGAGGGGCAGCTCCCACCCAAATATGGCAGCAGCATTCCATTTTTGGTCTGATCTGGCTCTTATAAAAGTAGAGGATAGCATGAGGAGTCAGGTACTTACTGGAGCAGTAACGAGAACTGATCATTTTACCTGTATCTTTACTGATAGATCCTATGTAAGAATTTCACCTATCCCTATAGATGTTACCATGCACTGCAAACATACCAGGTAATAGAAGGAAAGGGTAATTTGCTTTTTAAGTCCCGTGCTAAATATGTAATAAAAATTTGCCAAATAGTTATATTTAGGTTTAAATTTACATGCTTAATTTGAAAATAACAAAGAAATTTTGATAAAATCTACTGTTTAGGAGTTATCGACAATAAAAGTTTGGACTCATTCGCTTTATGACATGGCAGCCATTACTGGCATTGTTTGCATACACTCACTGCTGATTAGATTTGTGCAGAAGATTACATTGTTAACGGCCTTTTTATGATTCTCACTTGCTTCAATTACTGCACAACTGAGGACTCATTGTGTGTGCAATAATCAAAACTGTTCTGCAGCAAATATATGCAAACAATGCCAGTAATGTCTGCCACGCTGCGAATTTGTCTGAACTTCTATTGTTTTTTAACTCCAAAATGGTAAATTTTCTTAAAATTTCTTTGTTATTTTTTAATTAAGCATATGCATTTACACTTAAATATAACTATTGGTAGATTGTTTCATAATTTTTGTTTCTTTTGCAGCAAGTGGCCTCTTTGATTGGAGCTGATGCTAAAGAAATTATTTTCACCAGTGGTGCCACAGAATCAAACAACATAGCTGTGAAAGGTGTGGCTCGATTTTACAAATCAAGGAAGAAGCATATCATTACAACACAAACAGTAAGTATTACATGCAAATTGATTATAGGCTATTGTAAAGGGGCCGTGGGCACAAATTGTCAGTCGCAGAAGGACAGTGTGTGTGAGTTATATACCATACTTCCCATATGCTAAGAAGCATGTACTATGACACAACCTATTAATTATAGGTATTTTTTGGGAAAAACATATTTCAGAATTTAATAGCTGTACTAGCAAATCCAAGTGATTGACTATGGTGTCATCTTTTTTTACTGTCACAACAAATTATCACATTTTTGAACTACTATTAAATTTTTGTGGTTATTATTTGTGGCAACCATGTGTCAGCATAGACACAAAAGTGTCTTTGAATCATATACGAACATGTTTGCCAACACCGGTTACATTCTGGTTTTTCCCATTAGCAGCAGAACAGTTTGGCATGTCTAGATACAGACCTCTCTACAACTGATGAAGATCTGGGTCATTGTAATATGCCTCATACCAGTAAAAGCAATGGGAAAGTCAGCATTTGGCATTTTTTTCCTAAAATTGCTGTGGTTTCCAAGGCAGTGTTATTTTTGTTAATGCCCGTCTCTTTTCTCTCTCTCTGCCTATTACCCCTGTAGTTGGTGGTTGAGCAACCTCAATACACTCTTACCATACCTTACAACATTATTAATTAGATTAGACTGCTATTGTTACTGTATGAATATATTATTGACTATCAATGTGTGTTATTACAGTACACTTGTAATTAATGGTACGCCTATGAAGCTAACTGATTTGTTTTAATAATACACAAAGTATGGTAATAAGGCTGGTATTCTTGGTATACATAGGTAATGTCAGCCTGTATTACATGGCTGGAGTTCGGGTTTGTGGAGATATCATACTGTATGCCTAGGTGAATGAAAGACTTACATTACTGGTAGCAAGCTGCGTACTGGTTATCATCAATACTCAAAAAACAATATATATGCTAAGTTTCTTTTCTCACACTTCTCACTTGTGGAACTCTCTTCTGGTTCCATGCTTTCTGGTTAACTTTCATCTTCAAAAATTTAAATGCAATGTCAGTTGCTATCTACTGTCTTCCTGATTACTCTTCCTTTATTCACGATCCTTAGTCATGTTTCTGTTTTTGAATTCTTTCACAACTCCTTGTGTCTTAATGACATTATTGCCTTGCTTGGGGTAAATCTGATTAAATAAAATATATGGTATGATACTAACGGGATATACAATATTTATTGCAAAGGAATGGTGGAGTAATGGGTAGCGGCTCCAATTGAGAAATCTGAGAGCCATGTTCAAATTCCAGTCGAATCTATTACATTCACTTACATGCTGATACCCTTGGGGGAAAGGTATGAATCCTCTACTTCTCCTCCCAGCTATGGGTAAATAGCAGGTCAGACTGGGTTCTATAGCCCTGGATGGCAACTGGTCTACTGCAGAAAGAAATGACAACTTACTGAAGGGAAAAAATCTGCCTTGTCAGTCACATACCAAAAGATACATGATTGCCTGAGCATGTATCACGTATGGCACATAATTGACTGATTATATTGTCATCCACAGACAGACAGTTTTGCTGTATCACAGCTCATCAGTGTGGCTAGGCATCTGATTGCCTCAAGTTGGGAGCGAAACCTAATTGATTTGGCAACAGTCAGAGATTTTACTCCCAAGCTATCAGTGTTCAGTTGAAAGGAAGGCAAATTTTTACATACTTACAATTTGAATAAACATACCAAATGACTGATAAGGCTCAATTCATGGAAGAGTTTGGCAATATTAGCAACAGTAGTCATTGTTTATAAATTCATATTTTTCTCTTAAGAGTGCTTGACCAGAATTAAATTTTCAGGGGGCATATGAATGATAATTGTAGGCTTATAAAATGTAATTGTATCTTGTGACTGGGGTTTGTAAGAATTGGTAAACTTTTCTCTACAGCTTCACCTTTCACTGCTACGATGCAGGGTGATTTCTGAGGGCATTTTTTTGTAGGGGGAGGTGGGAGACATGCATCTTAGCATACACAGAATGTGGTATTAGTATTTCATTTGTAACTCATGAACAGTGTTACACAGACAATGCAGTGGTAATGAATCATTCAATATTAATGTATATAATACGTATTTCACATTGTCACAACTGTAATAAGAAAAAGACTTATGTTAGTTTGATTAAAAAGTTCATAGACTCATGACATCTGTATGCCATACACAAATGATGATACATTGGCACTAGATAAGTTACAGAAATGATTGTCTATTCAAGCCTTCAAATTGACTAATATATCTGTTTTACAAATACTGTTAAGTAGATTGCTATCCATGTATTTGTTAATACTTTGGACACTACCAATTATGTGTAAAATGCTATCAGTATTTCTATTAGGGTAAAATTCTTTTAAGATATCATTTATACACTGGTTTCCCTCTAATTACCCATTCTGAGTTGAAATCACGATTAACATCAAAATAGGGGAGATAATTCTGTTCTTCACTGACATTATCTTAAGATGTGAATTACATATTCACCCAAACTTTAAAACTAGAAAAACATTGAAGTCATTCATCAGCAGATTGTTTTTTGTTTTTTTTTTTTTTTTTTTGTGTTGTGTTTTTTGTTGTTGTTATTTTTTTTTGTTTTTGTTTTAAATGCCATGTCCATTCCATTGTTGGTGACATGACTCCCCACAGATTCCCTTTCTTTTTATAATCTGTGAATTACCACAAGTTCTTGGGAAAAACAGTGGAGTGGTTGCTCATTGCCATCTCCACAATTTTGAGTTATCTTTCTCCTAGACTGGCTCCTACCCAAGCCTAGCAAATTCAATTTACCCTTATATTTAACCTATAGTGGAGAGTCCTGCAAGAGCATTAGTGCAAAAGTGATTGTAACAGACGAAGCTGGAATTTGAACTCTGCTGCTTTTCACTTAATGTGCAGATAAACATTACAATATCTGTACATGCCTTTTAGTTTGTACAAGTTTAGAATAAAATCACTTTTGATGCACAGTTTCTTATTTGAAATGTTGAAAAGCTTTAAGCTCCAAAATCTGAATCTTTTTTTTTTTTTTCTTTTTCTTTCCATGGATGTATCCTTCTGTAGCACGTCCATCATACGTTGCCCTATTTATCCACTGGTTCAACCATTGAAATTTGCTGTAATTGTCATTTGTTTGTTCCACTGTTGGGGACTTTGGGCTTGGTTGCTTTTGGTCTGCTTCCAAGGTTGGTCCTACTGGGAGTTTAGAACTCCTGATGGCATCACTCTCAGTCATCATACCATGTATAAACCCCTCTACTATAACAATCCATTACATTTTTGTTGGGGCCACCCACCTTCTCATCAGAACGGACTGATCTCCCTACTACTAATAGGACAGTTCTATAGAGTTCTGGGAAGATCAGGTGACCATCACACTTCCGTCTCTCTACCGGAAGATACAGTTGGACTTTATACTCTTTCTGATTGTTACTGAATAACCTGCGTTCGTTTGACTACTAATCTCTCTGTTGTAAATACCTCTTCAGATATACCAGTATTTTTCCTTATTTCAATACATGCATGGGGAAACACTCAACATCTCAACAATTTTCATCACTGGATTCTGCATGTTTCATTTCATATGTACTGCAGAGGATGGTCATCAAATCAATTGTGTAGGTCACTTCTTGGTCCACTTTAAACAAATTCATGCCATCAGCATTTTCTTCTACTCTGATTTTCTTTCACTTCCAACCAACTCTTGTAAAGCCAAATGGTGATAGGGAATGGATGATGGGAGCAGATTTTGGTGAAACTGGAAGCTTCTAGTATTGAACCTGCACATTGGCAGCCAATTTAGTCATCAATGCCATCATCATAAAGGATGGGATCAGCAAAGAAGAAATTAAATTCTTGGATACAAGATAAAGTCAACTACAATGTAGTACTGAGCAGAAGGATTGAACTCACAACATCCAGTTTACCAGAAACTAGATGCCACTTTTACTCACTTGTTTATTTTTGTTATACTTACCTGTCACACCTGCTGACTGGAATGGATTTAAATTAAATATTAGAGAGTATAGCAAATTTATTGTTTTTTGTTTTTTTACAGACCTTTTCTCTAAATATGTATATTTTATATTGAATGATTATTTTTTTGAAGCTTATGTAATGTCCTGTGGTAATTTTCAATAGTCTTTGCTCCCTTGCTAGTCATGGGTATGATGATAAACTGAATCCAGAATAAAGACCTCTGATTGAGAGATTGGAGATTTTCACCCTGGCCCAGGATGGTAGCACCTGTTAAGGTCTCAGCTATGGGAAAATAATGAACCTACAAACATAAACAAAAATCTATGAAAATATAAAAATACGTTTTATTGAAGGTGTACAACTGTATTCAAAATAATTAGTTTCAGGCATACAACTGTATTCAAGGTATTTAGTTTCAGGCGTACAACTGTATTCAAGGTATTTAGTTTCAGGCGTACAACTGTATTCAAGGTATTTAGTTTCAGGCGTACAACTGTATTCAAGGTATTTAGTTTCAGGCGTACAACTGTATTCAAGATATTTAGTTGACAGCATAAAATTGTTCAAATTATTTAGATTTTGGCATTAAATAACCTATATAATTTGATATAATACTAAACAAAATCAATCAAACAACCAACATTAAAAAACTCTTTCATGACATTAGTCAATATAATATCCTACAATTTCTTAAAGAAATCAAACTGTGTTCTAAAATATAACTTCAACAAAACTACAATATAAAACACAGCTCTAGTAATTATATCTACACAAACATGTACAGGGTGTGATGGATAAATTTTCATCTAAATTATGCAAAAATGAAAATAATACTGACATCTCATTTTAACATACATTTACCAAAATTACACAAAAATATCTTGAAATACTAAAAAGTACATTTATTAACTAAAACCGCCATTGGTTTCACTCACACCTTCCAGATAACTTCAGAATCTCCTGCATCTTTCTTTGGTCTCCTTGTTTAAGTTGGTAAGTGCTGCCATAATCCTTGCTTTCAGTTCATCTTTGGTGTTACAAGGAGTTTTGTTGGTTTCTTGCTCAACTGTATCCCACACATAATAATCAAGGTTGTTGCAGTCTGTGGAGTTAGGTGGCCAAGGTATAAAGAGTGATGCAGTTGCAGAAAGTGTCTGACAGCCCTAACTAGGCTCTCCTGCTTGTGTGACATGGTGCAGAGTCCTGTTGCCAAACATAGGGTGTTCTAGCAGCCACCCTCTTGAGCAACGGCAGCACTACCTCCTCAAAGCACTTGATGCAGGCCTCTATGTTGACTCTGAAGGAAGATGAATGGAGGCATAATGTCATCATTAATAGTTATCACTCCAAAAAGTCATCATTAGACTCATCCATCTCTTTCTGAAATGTTTGTATCAGAGCTTCCAGTGCAAATGCCAAGCAGTACAGCATGCCATTTCCAAATTTCTGGTGGAATGAATTGCATTATGGTGCTCTTTTTCTCCCAGATGGTGCTCAATTGGCCCTACTATACTGTGCAGTTGACAAAAACAATGCATATGCATGAAATTAAAAATAGAAAATGGTGAAAATTTACCTATCGCACCATGTATGTGTACAAAAAGTATCCTCTATCATATATTAAATTATAAAAGCGGAATAACATATATTTTTATTACTTCAAAGCTCCCAAGTAAATTAAATTTTGGCATTAAATGACCCATAAGAAGTTGATATTCCTTTAAACAAATCAAATTGTTCTCTTGTAACTCAATGCTCTCTTACAAGGTTTTTCTTCTGCTTTGCATTTTTAAGCATTATGATCAACAATTAATAAGAATGAGAAAAATTACCAACCTTCCTTAAACTAGTTTTAGCCAGTATTACCAGAACTTTCATGGTATTTTTCTATCACTTATTTGCTTAATCTCTTGTCTTTGGTGCTTATCAATATATATTTCCTCCAATTCATTTCCATCTGGATCTCTTAGAAAACCTAGTGTTCTTGTAGTATTTGTATTTGTCATCTTAGTTCTATAGAATTAAATGTTCTTTTATAAATTTATATATACCATACATTGATTCTTTCAGATCATACCCTGTTATTAGGGCTGAGAATATGCCAACTACATTCCTTGCAGTGGGGTAAGAGCCTCTTCTGCCCCCAACAAAATAGCCACCTGCTATTAAAATTCGTATAGATTCAAATATAAATGACCAATATTTACCTATCCTCAAATGAAGTAAATCCTTACTGACCCAAATATAAGTTCAGTCTATGGTATTCTCAGCATCCTTCTGCAGAATCAAATTTTTGTTGCCTCAAGTCTCTTCATCTGTGATGAGATTGTCAAGCATCCATTGCTATATAGGAGGACTAATTTTACATAACAGTTCAGTACACTTTTCTTTGTTTCTCGCAAGATCTGGTAGGTCCACATGTTCTCTCAGGAGCTGTCTACAGGGACTTTATTTAGAACAAACTTCCAGACATGCTAGAGGATGTACCCCTGCTAATACGAAGACGCATGTGGTTCATGCATGATGGGGCACATTGTTCACAATGCCGTGGCTGACATCTATAATGAAGGTAGAGTAGGAATAGGTAGAGGAGGACTGGTTTCATGGCCTGAACATTCCCCTGACCTCAATCCTTTGAATTTTTATGGAGCCACCTAAACAATTGATTTATACAGCAGTCTGGCAGTCACGGGTGCATGCATGTGTAGAAGCAAGCAGAGGACATATTGATCATTTGTTATGAATTGCGGTTTTGAGGTAAAATGATAGCCTTTTGGATTTATGTTTACATGGACATTTTAACTTGTTTTGGTGTTGGGAACCTGCCCCCCCCCCAAGTTCGTAAAAGTATTTTTGGATTGTATCTTGGATTGTACATTTAACAGCATCTACTGTAAATGTTAAACTTTACTCAAAAATGAAGGATTTGTGAATGTATGTTTATATGGACTTTAGTTCTTGGTTTGGTGTGAGGAACCCACCCCTCCCAAAATTTGTAAATGTATTTTTGACACACACACACACACATATATATATATATAAGTTTTAAGATATGCTATATTTATGGCTTAAAGTGCTCAATACCAGGTATAGTGTATGTAAATATAAAAGTGGACATTGGGGTTTACACCCAGTACCGATATCATGTTTCATGCTTAAACACATGGCCTGAAGATTGTGTTTAAGTGTGAAACAGACTATTGCTGCTGGCTGTTGATCTCAATGCCCACTTTTACTTATATATATTCAGTTGTCTTATTTTGATTCTATTCCAAGAACATTTTTCCCATACATTTGCTTTTTTCTCCCACACATGATCAGCCATACCTGATTTCAGAGTTCCTTCATACATTAATATAATGATTTCCATCAAGCTTTAATTTTAATAGGTAGCTGGTTTCAGCTTTATATCCAATACCACAACATTGAATGTTTCACATATTTCTTGCTCAAATTTTCTTCAGATAGAAAAATTAAGCTTCTTGGAATTAATATTTTTGTAGTTATATTTCTATATGTGCTTAGATTCAAAATTTGTTTGGTAGTTATTTGATGAGAATCTGTTTTTTAAATATTTTTTTTTGTTTTACAGGAACACAAGTGTGTACTGGATTCATGTCGAATTCTTGAGATGGAAGGTTTTGAGGTGACTTATCTCCCCGTGCAAACAAATGGGTTGGTGGATTTGGAGGTAAGACGGCAGGAAATTTTCTCCTTTTCATAAAGTGTTTTCCCTCATAAAAAGTTTTACTTATTTATTTACTAGTATGTCACAAAGTACTTTTAGCACTGTTAAGTAAGTTTTATATATTTGGGAAGGATATTAGAATAATCCAAAACTTATGCTGGAAGTAAACTGCTTGCATGTGAATAAAGAATGAATTGAGTAAATATACAAAAATAGAAAGGTATGTACAATAAGGCTGTGTCTTCTCACCAGACTTATTCAACATCTACAGTGAAATGATTCTGAGAGAATTAGAATTCATTACATTATTTACATTATTCGGACAATTGTCCTCATCTTTGTCGCCATATTTATCAGAACGTTTCAGCTGATGTACACTCCGGCCTTCTTCAGGTGGTTGGAATGTTGAACTGAACCCTTTTTTGCTCACTGGGGTAGTTCTAGTTCCACGTGCTATGTTTGATGGATGTCAGTTATCTCCTGTTAATTTCCCTCTGCCTTAACCGGGTATTGAACTCTCACTCTTTGGGTCCTGTCACTGGATCTAACCAACGCCTTTATCCATTGTGCCATGTGTCATCTAGGTATGAATTTCTGGGTATTATAAACCTAATGTCTTCAGCAACCATTTTTACCAGTGCTCATATTGCAATTTTGCTGTTATCATTTCATGTTTTTACCAGAGCTCATATTGCAACTTTGTTGTTATCATTGCTTTTCTCTGGCACCCCTTATTACTGGTTCCCATATTGTATTTATTTCTATGCTTGGTTGGCTCAGGAGATTTTTGTGGCCTAGCATATGTGCTGATTCCTTAAGTTTACGAATTTTCCAATGGTGTTCCTTGTTTATGATCTCAACATGATCCCACAGAGGGCTGTGATCTCCCTTCTCTCTCCATATGTGGTCAGCCATGCCTGATTTTTCTACTTCCCCTCGTGTTACAGCTTTCTGGTGTTCTTGAAGCCTTACCTTGAAGTGGCGGCCTGTCTCTCCTTTATATTCCTTTCCGCAGCTGCACGGGATAGTGTACACACAGTCTTTAGTCATGTTCTCCTCTAGAATTCATTAATTGATTCAGTATTGGTGGCCAAATCTTAACATTAGATATGCAAATGACACATCTGCTATCTTCTATCTCTGCTATGTTGATAGCAGAGATAGAAAGAAAAATACAGGGACTCCTACAGAAGGTAGTAATGGAAAGGGAGAAGACAGATTCTAAACATCAATTGTAAGAAAATTGAATGTATGCTTGTCAATAAAAAGAGCCCAACATCTGAATTACAGTTGCGGTGTTGAAGTACAATAATAATAATGAATTTTTATAAGAATTGTTTTCATTTTAAAATTTTAATTATAATAATTTAGAAATAGTTTAAAATTCTGCATTACTTCCTTTCTTTTAAGTGATATTGTAATTAAGTAGAAACTATATTTATGAATCAAAAATTGAAAAGCTTAGTGGAAGTCATTTTGTACAAAAATTTTAAAATAATTAAAAATTTTTTTTTAGTCTAAACCTTTCTTTTTTTTTATGTATGGTAGTCTATACATGACATAATTATTAAGAGGACATGTGTTGTAAGAGTTATCCTAACATTACTAAGAAATTTGCTTATCTGCAATTCTTTATTCATTTCGTGTTTACGTGCATACATCATCCCTTCAAAGTTTTGAAACTTTAAAATAAGTTACTTTTTAAATTTCTATTTCATTAAATATTTTTATCTTATGTATTTATTTTAGAAGAAAAAACAACCTAGAAGAAATATTTGTTTTGTTTGTAATTTTTTTACTTTTTTCAGTTTGTTCTTTTTTATAGTATTTTAAATTTTATTATTTTTTCAGAAAGTATCTTCAAACATAAGGCTATAACACAATAGTAACTAAAAGTCAATAAAATATTAGGTAATTGGTGAAAATATTATGTTAATTTGTAAAAATGACTAGCTAGTTAAAAAAACCCAAAAATGCATTCACTTAGATTTAAATTATGTCATTTCTGGTTATTCATACTTAGCTGTCAACACCATCAATCAACACCTCAGAAAAAACAGGATTCATGTTTAAGAAATGCTTGCATACTACATATTTTATGCTATAAATAAGTAATATTTGTTTAAAATCAGATTAATTTAACTTTCAATTTGCTAATTTTCCTCAAATAACATGTTACAAATATATATTTTTTATTTTTGGAAGATTTTTAAAACGGAAAATTAAATTTTTTTTACAAATGTGTTAAAATGTAGAAAATGGCTGCTTGGCATGGATTTTGTGAAAGCGAGCAAATTGACATTCTAATCTATATAATTTCTCTTTGAAATCTACCAGAGTATTTTGCTTACTGGAAATTGTAAATTTAATCATTTAGCTTTCAATTAAAGCTAAAATGAAATCTTCAAGAATGCTTTTTCATTTTTAAAAATTCATTTTAAACCTTAAAATTTAAAGATTGTAATGAACCCGACAAATATTAATGACCTAGAGTCATATATATATATATATATATATATATATATATATATGAATGTGTGACTGGAGTCACAAGCCTTAAATGGCAACCTTCCTGGTGACTTGATAAAAACATTTGGTGCACTTGGACTACAGGGAGTGTCTGAGTTGGGTATCAGGAAGAACATCTGGCCTTGTAAAATCTTGCCTGAAATCATTAAGACAGAGATCCTCTATCAGGAAAGACCCACCCTGCTTAGTGCAAGATTAATCCTAGTCCAGACTCAGCGAAAAAAAAAAAAAAACAAACAAAAAAAATTAACAGCTATGTATGATGAAATTAAAAATCTATTGGATGAACAAGAAAAAGAAAGTACAACATTTAGTGACCTGAAAAATGAGACTGTCCCTGGCAGTGTTACATCTGCCTTGTTTATGAGAATGTCTTCTTTCTCTAAATTATTTCAAGGACCTTCAACTACAGCAGATCTGTTGCTGATTTCAGTCAAGATCACTTTCTGTTAACATAGCAGGACATGACAGCACAACCAAGAAATTCGAACACATTATTGTTTAGTAATCAAACACTTTTTGATTGGTAAACATTTACTACAGAGTGTTTGAATGAGAAGCTGACCACCATTATTATCTTTTTCTTTTTGTCACCTTTTTAAGTTACTTCCTTGTTGGTAATCAAGTCTTGATTACAATAAAGAAAGTACACTGTTATGGATATGATAGGAAAAAGAACAAGTAGAAAAGATATCTTAATCTAATATGTTTCACTTTATTAAAGCTTTCTCAGAGATCAAGGTAGAAATGATAAAAAATGATGAAAAACATGCAGATTAATGGTATGTTTAGCTATTTCTTATTGCTTAGATACGTGTCGTGTAATGAAGTAACAGATAATATTTAAATATGTGTGGCAAACATTCTTGACGCTAAAGTGTGTAAAAGTAAGATGCAGTGGGATGTTTTTATTGTCCTTTACATGTCGTGTAAGGAAGTAACAGATAATATTCAAATAAGTATAAGAAAACATTCTGGATGTTAAATTATGTAAAGGCTAGTGAGATTCTGCAGGATATTTTGAACAATTTTTCATTAAAGTATATCTTGTGCATATTTTTATATATTGATTTTTATGTATTCAGAAGAGATAAGTTAGATTCATGAATAATGGATCTGAAAAAAAATGGTGATGTAATGTAATTTTTTAAATGTGATAATAGTTGGTAATGCTATAAATATATTTATTTTCTCTTTAAAGAGTTATGTTCTTTTTTGATAAGGCTGGCATTGGTGAAATTAAAGTTATGTCCTATGTTGTTGCAGTGTAATACAAGAGAATTTGAATGTTTATCTAAATGCAAATCTCTTTTGTGTTCCTGGATGCAGATCTTTAGATCACATGAAGTCTCCCCAATGTGCATAGAGGATATAATAAAGGAGGGGTATAATGCAATAGTTAGAGCAGTGGAAATTGGAGCAAGGGCTTTCGTTTCAGGCACTCTGTACCAATTTCTGGGCCAAATTGGAATCAAAGGGCATAATAGGGCCATAAGTATAAAACGCCTAATAGAAGTAAATGAGAATAGTTTTATGAGGATATGGGAAAAAGAAATACTCCGTGGAGTGTTTCAGCGAACATGACGGCATGACATGACTGATCGTGAATGCGAGGTTTGCCGTTTTTCGGAATTTTCGTAAATTTAATTTCACCGTTAGACATTTGAACTAGTTTATCTACAACACACTTGTATATCGTTATAATGGGGCCTCACATCAGTTGGGGGGGGGTGCAACTGAAACCGTTGAGAGGAAGGCCCCAAAACTGGTCACATTCTCTCCTGATGACCCCAGTTTAAACATAAATTCAAGAGGAACACATCAAAAGAAATTCAGTGAAGTCATAAGCTATAGAGAAGCTCGGTGGAAGTGTCATTGGCATGAGGAGCATTACACAATCAGCTCACTTCAGGTGAGTTTCAATTACTTTCCAGTAATTTCCTTCTTGCACTGTTGACATTTTATTTGATAAACTCCAGCATTTAAATTGTTATTTATTTTATTTTCATCCTGATTATATCTCCCATAAATTTCGTTATGGATATGTTAGCAACTAAAACTTAGTGCAATACAAAGATATTTTTTCCAGGAAATATATTGAAAAAGTGTTTGCTTTTTTAATATTTATCTTAACCACATTTTTTTTTTGACTGTTGGTATAAAAACCATCCTTGTGTTTTGCCTTTGCTTAATCATGCCAAAACTGTTCAGATGCCATTAATGGTTGTGCTAGCCTGAAGTCACAAGTCATTGTGACCAAGGGTATTGGTTCCGTTCAAATTTATAATCATGCCAGCACTCATTTGGCATGTTGAGCATTGAAAATCAAATTTTGTCAGTGGCTTGGAATTCATACATATGCTACTGGTAGTGAATGTTGGATGATTTCCTCAAAGATGAATAAGAAACTCTGGGCGATGGAGATGTGGTTCTACAGAAGGATACTAAGGATATCATGGACTAAGCATGTGAGCAATGATGAGGTATTAGAGGGGATACAAACAAGGAGGAGGCTTATAATTAACATCACGAAGAAGCAGCTGAAATTCCTGGGACATATAATGAGGAAGGAGAGCCTGGAGAATCTGATACTCACGGGTCGATTAGAGGGAAAGAGAGACAAGGGAAAACAACGCATGACATACCTAGCGGATTTAAGCAAGTGGATGACAGAATGTAGTCTGGGGGAGGTGGCAGAGGGAAGGAGCTTGTTGAGAGCTACAAGGGATAGAGGGAGAGTCATGATTGTCCATGTCCTTTCAGGACATGGCACAAAGAAAGAATATCAGAACATTGTTAATGATTTTGATGTAGAAAAGTATTGAAAATTAAAAAGAGTTCGTTTATCAGCAGTTTGGAATTCATACAAGTGTTATTGGCAGTTGGTCAAGAATGACTACAAAAATTACTGACATGTTAGGGTCATACACATACACACATATGTGTGTGTATGTATGTATGTATGTAATAATATATATATATATATATATATAATATGACATGATATAACCACAACATTTGACACATATATACACACATGTACATATGCAAAAAGAAAAAAAAATCAACCTAATACCAATAAATAAGAGCTCCCAACTGGTGCATAAATTAAATTTAGTATAAAAATAACAAAAAATGAGAAATGCAGTCAATTGCTGAAACCTCCTGATAGTGGACTGAACAATTACAAAAAGGGTTTGTCACCAAAACTCCAGAGTTGAGAGGCTGAATATAACATCAATCAGCTAAGTGGCAAATTTTATATTTATATTAATCCTATTATATATAATTAAGAAGTTAATGGTCAGAGTTGATTTTGACCAGGGAACAGTTGTATTAAAATTGCCTGAAGATACTGAAAGATTGAAACCAAGTTAGTGGAATCAGCTGATATTCTAATTATATATATATATATATATATATATAAGCTCTACTTCTGTATAGAGCACTGTTTTTTAAAAACAAAAATACTAAAGAACTCCGGATTATTTACCTAATGTGTTCTTTCCTATTTTTCTACATATTTGCACACACACACACATATATATATATATATATATTTATTATAGTTATCTTGTGGTCTCCATGAAAGAAATATTATATAATGAAATATCTTACCAAAATACTTTGTACTTTCAAAATTGTTTGTTTTTATTGCATTTATAATTGAACCTATTTTGTTCATTCATTTTGAAACTAAATTTTAACAAAACCTTTTACTAGAAATGTTTTGCTTTAGATGCTATAAAATGGATTGTTGTTTTTTTTTTTTTTTTTTTCATTCCAGGTTCTAGAGAAATCAATGCGACCAGATACGTCTTTGGTATCAATCATGACAGTGAACAATGAAATTGGAGTTAAACAGCCAATCAAAGAAATTGGTAAGTTTGTAGGAAATTTAGTAATCCAGATTTTTTTATATTAAAAATCCTGATGTCTGAATTTTAAACAATAATGTAATAAAAAAAAAAACATGGGTATGTCTATTAAATAAATCATTTGTATTGACAAACATATGTACATGAATTCAAGAAAGTTGAAAAAAAAATAATAAAAATAGTCTTTTGTTGAGTTAGCTTTTGGGTAGTTAGTACACTGAAAAGATTGTAGTTTAAAAAATACTTTTAAATAGTTTATTAACAAAACATGTAGAAATAAAAGCTTTTGTACAAATTATTCAGTATTCTATAAAAATATAAAGTTTAAAATCTTAATATAAAACAAATAATTAAAATTTACTGAAAAAGTAATTGTTTTCATAATTTCTCTTGAGATTTTAAACAGCCTCGTTTTGTTATGTACTTTGCTTTTTGAATCAACATGCTCCTCTTTGGTTTTTGGCTGCAATGAGAATGTGCCAACCCATAGTGATTTGAGTAGGGACCCGATAAACACTTACGTATAGTCTGAAGTATAATAAAAAAAAAAAAAAGAAGATATTGACATTAAATAATCCAACAAAAATTCATGTCATAAATCAACCAACCTACCCCATCCCTTGGTACTTATACTCTTAAGTTTTAGCCATTGTACTCTCAGGCCATCTTCAGGTGTCTGTCTTTTTAATTACTTTGCTATTCAGACCAGCATGCTCATCTAGGTTGATATACTCACTTTGTTTTGGCCATTACCTTCTCTTACCTTCTTCAGGTGTCTATCTTGGAACATTTGTGTCTGTTTCTTCTACTGAACCAAAGTACATGGTTGTTCAGCTCTTTCAGAAACAGGGATTGAACTCACCACTTCCAGGGAATTAGATATTTTTAACTAACTTTAGTGATGTATGGTGGCCGTTAATAAGTAAGTATAACTCACGACTTCACTGGATAAAATAAAACAGTATTTAATTACAACCACAAATACTTATGAAGAACAAAGGTAAAATTCAAACAAAAAAATTATTAACCATTTCAGTGAATACCTTGTTAGTAGTGTGGCTTGGCTTAACATTCGGTAAATCCTAAATCAAAATCATTGATGCACACTAATTCAACTGGATAGTTCCACTCAATAGCCATTACAGTCAGTAGCCTGACACCGCTATTCATACACCTGATGGAAAACATATATTCATCAGTCCAGAGTGTCATGCTCAAATCTCTGTGTCAGTAGTTACTCATTTTCTTCCTGTATGACACTGATATGTTTTTTATCTTTTTGACAATATATCAGGTTCAAAGAAGGTTACTGAGTACAAGGCCAGACATCTGTAAAAGGTCAAAAGATGCAACAAGCCAAAAGTTTCAATTATAACAACTAAGATGAGAATACTGATCAGAATTACAAAGTACATAACAACAACAACAACAACAATGATGATGATGATGATGATAATTCTTTGTCTTAATAATTCTAACAAAAATGAATTTCTTTTGTTTGTGTATTATTTTAGGTGCTTTATGTCGAGCCAAGAAGATATTCTTTCACACAGATGCTGCCCAAGCCGTTGGCAAAATACCAGTGGATGTGAATGACCTGAAAATAGATTTGATGTCAATTAGTGGACACAAAATTTATGGACCTAAAGGTAGAACAAACCACTATAATAGCTTGTATGTATGTGTGTGTATATATATATATATATATATATATATATATATATATATATATATATATATATATATAATGTGTCTGTATGCATATTGGGTATATAATCTAACTGATTCCATTTAGATTCTTTTTCTTTTTTTCACTGTGCTAACAGAAAATCTGCCAAGAATGGCAAAATATTGTAAGAGCCTAGGTGCAAATTTACTGTGGGAAAGAATTTAAATGAAATCACCTAGATTATATGCCCAAAGCACATGCACACATATATATATATATATATATATATATATATATATATATATAAAATGTATGTATAAGGGAGAGGTTATAGTTGTTTCAATGAGAGAAAAGTGTAAAATATTAAAAAAAAAAAACACTTCAGTAAATCTTGGAAGCAATACTTAGATGATTGCTTGGAAATCCTCATGGGGCAATGTTAACCAATTCCACATTCTACTCCATAGCTTACTTCTTTGACAAATTTAAACCAGCACTAAACATCATAAGCCAATACATAAAAACACACAGCATACACATATAATGGCTGAACACACTAGTCGGGCCACACAGACAGACACACACAAATTATATATGTACTTGCATACATACATACTGGCAAAAACACACTAGACAGACTAGATGAACACTTTGTGTGTTCATGTGGTTCTGATGAACCACATGAACACACAAAGGTGTGTGTATATATATACAAACCACACAAACAAATTAAACCCACGTGTAACTGCAGAATAAAGAATAAATGTCCCTTAAATGGTAATTGCTTACAAAACAACATAATATAACAAGCCACGATAAAATCACCAGATAATGAAGAGAAAGTATACATAGAAGTAACTGAAAGACCCTGGAAACAAAGAAATTATGCACACAAAACATCTTTCACAAATAGTAAATACGCGAACAACACATTGCTTTCTAAGTACATCTGGGAAATTAAAAACAGTAAATTATAAAAATTACAAATCCATAATTTCACCAAAAACAATTAAAAAAACTGGATTTAATTTAATTCTGTTAGTTTTAATGAAACACCTACAAAAAAAATGATGATAAAAAAAAAGAAAGCAATGCTTCATATTTCAAAAATGCTCCCTTTGAATACAAGAACTTTATCAACAACAATTTTGAAAACTTTGACAGAATTCCAAAATAATTTCAGCAAATTTTTTATGAATTGTTTTCATTCAGGAAGTATATTTTATTTTTAGAACAACTTTCAAGAACGTCTTGTGATTTTAGGTGGTTGTCCCCATGACCAGACTTAATTAGTGACCCACACTAACCATTTCATTTGCCTTTTAAGATTCAGTTGAAATCTTATCTATTTATCTATAAGTTAACCTGCAATCTGTCAGATTTTATTATGCAAGTCAATGTTTCTACAATAAAATAGCTTTTAATCCACCAATGTTAATTGTAAGGTGGTGTAATGGACATCTGCATTGAAAATGGGAATATGAAAGTGAGTTCAAATTGCAGCTGTGGCATTCGGTGTTTATTTCTATGAATGATGCTTTTGAGAAAATAAGAAAAGGTGACACAGACCAAAAAAAAAATTCTTTAGTCTGTCAGTTATTTCAATCATTTTGGGTCACTGAACTACTAAGAAAGGACATCAAGCCTCACAAAGGGACTCTCACTTCACCACCCATTCAGATATTTTATCATTTTGTCAGATTTTGGGAAAATCTTGATTTTCAGTGCATTTTGATAGTAAAAATAATTCATAATACATTGTTATGCTAAAATCATTAGCAATCCATTTATATACATGAAAAAGTGACTCTTCATGCAAAACAGACTTATCAATACAAAAATTTTAAATTAACTTTTAAACTAAAACTGAAATAACTTCCATTAACTAAATCATGGCATTAAATATCCCTAAAGGTGTCAAAATGTTATTAACAAACAAAAAACACATTCTATATATAATAAAGAATTATAATGTCATCATGATTGAAAAGGATCCGATTATTTTAACAGTTCTATTTGGACAAATGACCATTTAATGTTGAGCCATTAGAAAACATTGATGTTTGTGTCATTTCTTCACCCTAGTTTCTTTTAATAGTTTAGCATTCCACTTCAGTTTTAAAATTCTTCTCAACAAATCATTGGTTAAAAAAGCAATGCAATTGCTATATGTCTTCTTAAAAAAACAGTGAAAAATTTTGTGCAAAAAGAGGATCACCCTACTTTTCTAATTGCTGATTGGCTGAATAACAATAAATATGAAAAATGCTTATGCAATCAGGTTTTGCTGCCAATATTTTTGAATGGCAGCCTGGAGCCTGTCATGTGACAGACAACCAAATAAATAAGGAATGTTAATGTATCCCATCAGTGAGACAAAAAGAAAAGTCAACCACATTGCTGCTACGCTAAAGAAATTTAACTTGGATATTACAGTGTTTTCCAATTATTCACCAGCAAGAAATTACTTAAAGAAAAAATTGTTTCCTGAAACTACAAGTTTACTAAACACATTTTCAGTTCTTCAGGACATAATTCAAGAAACATTCTTATTCAGTTCTATTTAACAAAATTTGCTGTTGGTGAACACTTTCTTTTAGTGGCAAGGCTTATTGTGATAAGTACAAAAACTAAATTTTATTTAGTAACAAACAGAAACTTCTTGAAACATCAAGTAAATATTCAAAGTTCTATTTTACCAAACACATTCTCACAATATCCATATTACACAAAACATTTAACTAATTCATAAAGAATATTTCTTCTAAAAACAAACTCTTTTTCATTGCGAGACCTGATAAAAAATTATTTCTTTCAAAGAAGTTCTCAAATATTTAATTTACTAGTTAAGGATAAGCAACTCTTATTTTTGCATTGTAAAATTTCTGTACCAAAAAACAGTTTTGAAGGAACATTTTAAAGTACTTTTATTTGTTCAATTAACATTACTGAACTTTGAAATTCAGTTTAGCTCAGCTAAATATTCTCAGTAGTTTATTCTTAATAATTGTAATATTTCTATATAAATATTTTGTAAACTATTTCATCTTGTCCTCTACAACAACAGTTCTATTTGAACAAATGACCATTTAATGTTGAGCCATTAAAAAACATTGATGTTTGTGTCTTTTCTTCACCTTAGTTTATTTTTTAAACAGTTTTATGATATATATGTTTATTTTCTTTAAGGTATTGGGGCTTTATATGTCCGTCGTCGTCCACGTGTACGACTTGATCCTCCTCAAAGTGGTGGTGGCCAAGAACGAGGAATGAGAAGTGGCACTGTTCCCACTCCATTGGTGGTTGGTTTAGGAGCAGCTTGTGAACTGGCACAAGAAGAGATGGAGGTTTGTCTTTTTATCATATCTTATTCTTGCCCTGTAGGTTGTGGTCAAGAATATATAAACTGCATCTCTGTGCAGAGGGTAATTCTCCCCCACCCCACCAAAAAGGAGCAACCTGTTTACTGTACAAATGTCAACCTTTTGAACTCTCTTGTAGACTAAAGCCATGTCTACAGAATTGACTCTTGTACAGGCACCAAACCTATGTCTAGCTTTCTATTGTTTATGAAAATGACAAAATTCAATATGAAGAGGTCACTAATTTGATTGAGGTTCAAATGGAAACATTTTGATACTCCCTCATATAAGACCTCTTTGTTTTTTGTTCTTTTTCTGAATCCCTCCTGGGTCAAGAAGAGAATATTCTAACATTTCCATGTATAAAGCTTCTCTTCTTTTTAATCATTTCTGGGTTAGACAGTCCATTTTAACGTAACGGGGTGGGCTGGGGGTGTGTTCAGTTCTTTGTCACAGTCAGTCTTCTGTACGAGATATAACCAGGTGGATTGGGTAATTTGTTAGTATCAGCTGACTACATCATGCCTGGGAACAAGTACCAACAAGGCTGGTAGATTTCTCTGTTTTTCTTCACTTGAACAGAGATTAAGCATTTCCAGTTTCACCTGTCTGTTTGACAGTGATCGTCAGTAAGTTGGACCCAAATTCTATTGTTATGTCTCTGCAGAAAATGAATGAAATTAATTTCCCACAGAGTGTGGTAACCCTACACTTCTGGTTGTTAGTTAGAGTTGAGTAATGGTGGTCGGCTCAAGGGTGGAGAAAATTTCTTTGATAAAACGAACCAAATGTTTTCTGTGAATTTAACAGAATTTAATGGGTTGAAAAAAAAAAACCAAGAGAATTTAATTTCTACAAAATGATGTTTGAGGTTCTCAAATGTGTTTGGTGAAATATGGGGATGTTATGGAATCTAGTTCTGTTCCCTTTAGGGAAAATGACAGCTAAGTGAAATGTGTGCTTGCTTGCTTATATGGAAAAATCAATGATTAATGATTTCACTTTACCTTGCCAGGATTTAGAAAATGACAATTTACAATGCTCATAGTTCATGTTTTATTATCTCTATATTCCCTTAAATTAACTTTATGACTTTCTTATTGGTGAAGAATTCCTCACCAGAAATCAAAATAATCATAATTAAAAAAAAAAAAATATAGACAATTGTTTCAGAAAAGGGGACATCTTCAATTTAATTTTACCCTTACCAGTTTTCAAAGCTTGTACTTAACCCCTTTCAAACAGACACTGTGACCGCTCAGGTTGAGTTGATAATATAAAGCTTTTTTTAAATCTCTTTTAGGTCAGGTAGAGAATATTTTAGCATTCCTTGTATAAATCATTTCTTCTTTTTTTTATCTGAATCCATTCAGGCAGATTTTTTGGAGAATAAGATAGAAGACATTTTTATTAACATGAGATGAAAAATAAAATAACATTTTTGTTTTAAAAATTTATTTTTTGATTACTTTGGATTATTTTGAAGTTTATTTATAAAAAAAAAAAAAATTATATCTTGATATTTAATTTTTTTTTTTTTTTAATTATGCCTTGTCCAAGTATATGGTAGGGGGTCCACTTTGGATTGACACCTGGCCCCTAATGTTTACCTGGTGAGGGCATTTAACAGAACAGAGAATGAAGACACTGAATATAAAATTGGGTTAATTTTTTTTTTTTTTTTTTAGTGGCAGAAAAGATCATTGTATTAATAACTTTCAGATAGATTTTTGTTGTTACACCTGTAAAATGAATAATTCCACTTGAAATATTTATTCTTTGGCTTTTTCAGTATGACCATAAGAGGATCACTGGTTTGTCTGAACGTTTGATATCAAAGATCATGTCAAATGCAACACATGTTATCAGAAATGGGGACCCTGAATCTACATATCCAGGTAAGAACAGGGTTATTTAAAAAGAAAAACAGACTTTAATATATGTTGATATTTTGGCTGGTCTTTTGTCTAATGCTTTTTAATCTGAATATTTATCCAGTACAAAGTTTTGTTATTGGTCAAGTTCTGTTTCATTTTTATCTCATCTATGGGTACAGCTAAAAAAAAAAAAAAACACATAGGCCAGAATGGATTGTGTAAAATGCTGCAAAGATGGGAAAAATTAAGGAAGAGGGGACAAAAAAAAAGAAAAACATTAATAACAGATTTTCAACCCTCAGACAAAGAAAAATTAAGGATAGTTGATATAGATATATTCTGTCTACATTTCTGAGATGAGGTATTTTAATTATTTACAATGTTTGGACTTTGTCATGTTCACAATGTTTCGACTGTTGTACGCTCCAACCTTTTTCAGGTGATTGGAATTTTGAACTGAACCCTTTATTTCATCCACTGGGGTAGATTGTTCTAGTTCCAGATGTCTCAGTTATCTTGCTTTAACTCAACTATCAAATTAGCCAGGTATTTAAATCACAATTTTTTGGGTCAAGTCACTGGATCCAACCCATGCTTTTATCTAGTGGGCTATGTGTCCTTGAAGACATCAGTGTATGAATTTTTGGGACTTTATAAACCTCAGTTATTATATTTTTACCAGAGCTCATATTGCGATTTTTGTTGTGGCCTAGCATATGTGCTGATTCCTTAAGTTTTCATATTTTCCAGTGATGTTTTCTGTCTATTATTACAACTTCATCCCACAGAGAGCAGTGATCACACCTTTTCCCTCCATATGTGGTCAGTTACACCTTTGAAGGTCGTCCTGATTGCTAAGTCTTCATCTTGTCAATATCAACAGGATGAAAGCTTAGAAATTGGCTCGCCATTATCACCAGCAATGGCAAACATTCATAGAATACTTTAAAGAAATGGCATTAGAAGCCATATCACCAAAGTAGATGACACCTTCATACTCTGGCTACACCAAGAAGAGGTCTCAGCTACTACTGGACCATGTGAACTCATTAAGATCATCGATACAGTTCACAATTGAGAGAGAAAATGACAACAAACTCGCATTCTTGGATGTACCGATATCAAACAGAGCATGGGTTCAAGACATCTGTATATCACAAGCCAACATTCACCAGACAATACTTAAACTTCAACTCCCACCACCCATACAGTGTAAAAAAAGGGATCATCTGCTGCTTACAACATTGAGTAAAAGTCATAAGTGCCAACCCAGAGGCATATGAATTGACAAATGGTCAGTATAAGCAGTACCCTACAATGTAACTACTACCCTGGGTACCTGGCAGCCGCTCCAACAAATTGGGATAGAAGGGTACACAAGGGTAACAACACTCAGGGTAGGCAGACTGAAGCTATTTTCTATGTGAAGGAATTATCAGAAAAAAATACATAAGATCTGTGGTCCATATAACATCAGGACTATCTTCACAAGTGGTTTGACACTTCACAGACTCCTCTTCCGAGTAAAACCCCCATAGAGGAGAACATTACTTAGGATTGTGTGTTCATCATCCTATGCAGCTGTAGTAAGAAATGTAAAGGAGAAACAGGCCCCCCCTTAAGATAAGATTGCAAGAACATCATAAAGCTATGACACTGGGAGGAAATAGAAAAAAATCATTCTCCTCCCTGTAGGATGAGGTTGAAATAATAGACAGAGAACATCACTGGAAAATATGAAAACTTAAGGAATCAGCACATATGCTATGCCACAAAAATCTTCCAAGCCAGTCAAGCATAGAAACGAATACAAATGTGAACCAATAATATGGAGTGCTGGAGAAAAGCAATAATAACAATAAAATTGCAATATGAGTTCTGGTAAAAAAAAAATCATACTTATTATAAAACCCAGGTTGTGTGTGTCTGTCTGTTTGTTTATATATTGGATCGGATTTCCTACATTTTTCAACCGATTTCAACAAAACTTCACAGGACTACGTAAAATTACCTTGCAGTGGTTCTGACAGTGCCACAAATTGGAAAAACACAATTGTTTTTGCACAAAATCAATTTGAAAACACGATTAAGAGGCATTGCTGTTTCAAGAATGAAAGGGGAACAACTCATATCGAGTTTTACTTATTATAAAACCCAGGTTGTTTGTTCCAGTCTGAACAGTGGAAATAACAGGAATAATTACAATACCTCATCTCATAAATGTAGACAGATCCTGAAGAAGGCCAGGGCACAACAATGGCCGAAATGTTGTGAACATGAGAATAAGGATGAGGACAACAGTCTGACCAAATAATGTAAATAGATATATTCTCTACTTCTTACAGAATAAGAATCGTTGAATAATTTAGACGTGTTCTGTCTAACTATTTTCAATTGGATCCTTTCATATTCACGGATAAGCTTTTTGGTGTTGTTATTGAAGGACAAGAGAAAATCAACATGTTGATACATATTTCTTTTATTCCGAGCACTTTCGACATAGCACAATGTCATCATCAGGGTATTGTTTGTTGCAAGGCAAATATTGTAATGTTTGGTATTGTTGAAGACAAAATTGTTGTGTTCGACTGAAAATTAAAATTCTTACTTCTGGAGTGAAAAATGTTGAGTCAGTGCATGATTACTGACACCATTTAAAGGGAGGTAACTAAGTATGTTTGTGGAAACTTTTTTTTACAAAATAAGTAGTAAAAAAAACATAATATGTCCAACATTTCTAAACATTTACAACAACATACCTGTTCACATTCACATTTCAGAAAAATTCTTGTCGAAAATACCTCTATACTTTTTAATGGAAAGAATAAACAAAGTAAAAATTCTCAAAGCTCTCTATATTTAAAAATTGAAACCAAGCCTTAATAAAATTAATTATGAATACTCCACAAATGTGTACAATAGATAGTTCAAAATGCCAAGGTTGTACTAATAGTTTTTTTACCACTTATTTAATAAAAAATAAATTGGGTGTTTATCTCATTTCAGTTATCTAGATTTATCCTTAACAGAAACTGTTACCATTTGCAACCATTTGGTGTGAAACTATAATTTTTCTTTGAAGAATGTTTGAAGATAAAGAATATTTGTATTCTGTGAAATTACATTTTCAAAGTATGTTTCTTATAAAAATATATTTTTTACTTTTTATGGTATTTCTTCATTGTAAATTTATCAGCAACAAATGAAATCTTTTTTTTTTATTAACATTAATATCTACTGCTGCTAAAATGTGACAGTGGGTATTAATGGGTTATTGAATTTTATTTTTAGGAACCTATATTTTATATACCAAATTTTTATAATACCAGATATTATTAATAGTTTATGCTACTAATTGTTGTATGTCTTGAAACAGGTAAGGAATCATTTTCTTGTCATTATAACCAACTGTGATCCCAGTTTTAACCCATCCATAGTTTAGTACTTTAGTTAGTGCATAATAAATGACAATGTTCTACCACAACAATTTGAATAGTATACATGTAGTATTACTAATGTAACAAAAGTATATAAACAAAGAAAAATATAGAATTTTTTTTTTTTTTTTTTGTTTATCAGTTTTTATTTTTATTTTTTTTTGTGTAACAGAATATGATAGACTTATATCTGGCAGGGAAATAAACAAGAAAACTCTTGTCTTATAATTCTTAACATGTTTGTTTTTATTTTGCTTGTAGGTTGCGTTAATTTGTCATTTGCATTTGTTGAAGGAGAAAGTTTGCTGATGGCCCTCAAAGATGTTGCATTGTCTTCAGGAAGGTGAAATATTTAAATTTTTTTTCTTAATTTCATTCAACAAATGTTGCCTTGTTATTTTGATGATTTGGTTTATTTTGTTTTACGGCATAGCATTAAATAACCCATTGAGGTTGATGACAAAAGTTTTAGGATAGGTTTGGATGAATAGAATATGTATTGTAAGAAATCAGTTTGTAGATTAGCTTTTTTTTTTGTAAAGAGGGTTTTCATCAAGAGTCAAATGTATTGCTGCTGTTTTTACTATAAAAAGCTATTTTTACACTTTCATAGTGTTTTGAGTCTAGTTTTATGGTTAACTATTTGCCATAGCTGGAACCCTAACAGGTGCTACCACCCTGGGTCAGGGTAGATCTGGGAGCAACAGCAATTAAGAGGTGGTTCCCCATTACTCAAAATGTCTTGATTGGAGGCCTTGCTGTCAAATGTAGTTTATAATCATACCCAGGATATTGATATTTTGGCTAATATTAGGTATGTCTAAAAGTTACCAGTAGATTTTTTAATATTTATTCAATTTATAATTTTCAAAAAAAAAAAAATAAATAAATAAATAGCGGGGCCAGGAATGTTTACACATACCTGATGGAACTTCTTAAATAGACTGGTTCACAAAAAAAAAAAAAAAAAAAGTAAAACGTTTTTGGGAAATAATTTTTATAGATTAGCATTCTTTAGACATTCCTATCCATGACAGCTGTTGAAATTATGTGGTTGCCAAATGTTGCACTAGGTTTGTGCATCTTGAAATTGCTTCAGTGGTCACCATAAGATTGCAATTAAAATTATACCCCAAAACATTAAGGGACATTTTGATGAGTTGCATCAGAAAGAAAACCATTACAGTGGTAGATTCACTGTACTTTTCAGAACAAATTCCCGCTGAATGTTGCTTTTGATGTTGACAAAAAAAAAAAAAAAAAAGAAATGATGAGTATGTTTTTTGCAGTATACTGAATATGACATGTTTTCTTTGGTCTCCTTAATTTGGCTCTTCTACTGTGATGATTGTTGTTTTGTGTCTGGATCTTAATCATAAATTTGTCTAGAATCATCTGTGATAATCCTAGAAATGACAGTTGAGTCAATGTTGCAGGTCTCCTTACAAAAACTGAAGGCATTCATTAAACATCAATAAAAATGGGGAACAATCTTTGAAGTAATGTGATACATGTTCAGGAATTTCATGAAAATCTCCTGGTTGACTCCATAACTGATTCCAGTCACATTTTTAGGTTAAAACAGCAACAATTAGTCTGAAATTAATAATGAATAACTTTCACAAAGAAATTTGTTGTCATATTTATCACAATGTTTCAGCCATTGTATGCTCTGGCCTTCTTCAGGTGGTTGGAATGTCAAACTGAACCCTTTATTTTGCTCACTGAGGTAGACTGTTCTAGTTCCATGTGCCATGTCTAATGGATGTTAGTTGTCAGTTATCTCCTGTTAATTCGCCTTTCCAAATTCTCCACCATCTTAACCAGGTATTGAACTCACACGCTTTGGGTCCTGTCACTGGATCTAACTAACCCTTTATCCACTAGGCAATATAGACAGAAACTCAAGATGATAATGTATTTAATAGATGATCTGCTTTCTTTTTAGTGCTTGTACGTCTGCCTCATTGGAACCGTCTTATGTTCTACGAGCAATTGGTGCAGAAGAAGATTTAGCACATTCATCCATCAGGTAAAAATCATAGAAAATAGATGAGGACAAAATAATATGTTTTTTGTGTTTAATTTTCTTTCTTTCTTTAACATTATTGAGTAATGTTGAAAAGTTCACAGCCCAACTCACATCTGAAAACCTAACCAAAGTTAATTTTTTTTTTTTTTCTTGAATACCTGCTGGGTTATGCAGAGAGAATTTTAACACTCCCTCTTATAAAGCATTATTTTTTTCTTTTTCTGAATTGTTGGTTGAAAGCTTTGGCAAGGATTGCATTGTATGTTTACATTATGATAAAACAATTAGCCTAAAGATAATTTTAAATAAATTTTAACTAAAAAATTTGGGAAAAAAAACAAAAGAATATTATCTTTTAAATACATAATGAACTTTGTTTTTAGTGCTTTTACATCCATCCCATTGGGTAAAACAGAACGTTTTAGCCCCCTTCGCCATATAAAACATTTTTTTGTTTTTCTGAATCCATTCTGGGTGAGGCAGAGAACATTTTTAGCACCCACTCATAGAAATTTTTTTTTTTTTTTTTTTTTTTGTAGACTTTTTGTTTTTTGATTCTGTATGTATAATATTTACAGTCTATGATATGAAAAAAAAATCCATGTTTTTATAACATTTAGCTAGATTGAAAAAGATAAGGGACAGAATTAGAAGATACAGGCAGAAGGTCAGAGAAAAGCAGAGGAATGAGGTAATGGAGGTATTAAAGGGAAGAAAGAGTATATAATCTTTTGACTCTTATGTCTGGGTTCCAACCTGACCACACACTTGCATGCTTAGTTTCCCTGATTCAATACCTATTACACAATTATTACATCAATATCAATTCATCATAATGTAGAATCAGAGGGAGTCCCAAGCTTGATCCTCTGCAATTTGATGGTCCCATCTGGGAGTGATGGAGAAATAAGGACACTCAAAATGTGTTCCTTATGTCTAGTCTACTTCATTGTTTTGTTTTGGTTATTGTCACTCCAGAAAACCTCATTTAATGTTTGAAAAGGAAGTAGAGCTTTCAGTGCTTTTATGGCAATGACAGGATATTCTGTCTTGACTTTAAACCTCCTTGCATTCTGGATTAAAGTTGTCTCAAATATACTTTTAAGGCCATCATTTGAAATGTCAAGCAGCTGATCTTCTATCAGGGTTAAAGTTGATTAACCTGGCTTGTTGACAAATGGATTGTGGATACATTCCTTGCCTGTCTTGGGGTCTTCTGTGGTTGGAAAGTATTGTAGCATACCTATGGACTATAATGGATATGTCCTCATTCACGTAAATACTGTATATGGTCTGCAGTTGAAGATTCATCTTCAACTGTGCTGGGCAGTGAGGATCCCCAGGTGAGGCTATGTCAAAGAACAGAATCTTGTTTTATACAGGGTCTATGGGGAATTTTTGGCTGAGCCTACAGACTCGGATATTCTACATTAAATTCAGCCTTGTGTCACATCTGACCACGTGGGGTGGTTAGTAGCATTGTGGAATTCACTTGACTCACTTTTAGCAGTTGACTACTACTTCTACGTGATGCTGGCGAATCTTATATGTGTTGTTCTTGTCCTAAGTATTATCATTCATTACCAACCTTTGTGTGATTATTCTATTCAGTATCCTTCCCTAGGTTACAACAGAAAGTAATGCTCAAACTCTCTTGAAATCTGGGACAGTTGATCATGTACCAGCTCAGTGAATGAAAGTCCTGGTTCGGTCTCTTTCATAATCCCTGTCAATGTGTGAAACATGTCAAAAATTCTAGTGTTCACTCACTGTTTCCATACTTCCAGTTTGGCTTTGAATGCAGTAATCTTATGTACTAGCTGAAAACTGTGGCCATTTTCCACTAAAGTGAGAGATTTAGTTGAGTATGTTAAATATGTCTCACAGGTAAGCAAGTATTTTGATCCATTCAGTGTTACTGAAATATGCTGTCAGCAGGATCTTTATTTCTAAAAGAAATCTCTAAGTGGCTCTTGTAACTCAAAAACTCTAGCTAGTGATGTGCCTTTAGAAAGCCATTTCACTTCTGTGTACATGAAAAGACTTCTACGTTCTGTATCCATCTCCTCAGAAAGCTGCTTGAACAGACATGAGTTAAGAATAGGTACTTTAATGTAGTTAATAACTTTAATCACATCTTGTAAAACACTATTAAGCTCAGGGGACATTTTTTGGCTTGCCATCATTTCTCTATGAATGACACTGTGCGTAGAATCACATTTGGAAACAACTTCCTTGATCCATGTTGTAAGTTCAGAAAGTTGTCCAGTCATCACGTCTCTGTCTGTTTAAGTCTTCCTGATATGTGATCGTTCCATAGTTTGAATAGTTCTGCAGTTAGTTGGCAAAAACAATGCATGTGACAAATCCTTGTGCATATCTTACTGAAAAATATATTGCACAAAAATAAGCAATATTTGTCTTTTTGTCAAAACCATTAGGAACATTTCCAACCTTTTTATTTGCTTCCTCTCTGAAAAGTTCACTGCAAATGTCCTTAGTGGCAGGCAAAATCAATTCTTCACCAATAGTGAAGTTTTTTTTTTTTTTTTTGGCTCTCGCAATGCAATCAGCTACTGAGAATGATGCTTTCAGTGCAGACACATTTGCTGAAGTGGTGGTCTTCAGTAATTGCTTCTGTATTTCATGTTCACAATTTTTCTTGCAAAAAATTCTAGGGGCTTTGTCTTTTAATGCAGAGTACTTGCTTTACATGCGGCAAAGTAATTTTGAGAATTTCATGGCTTCTTTAGTTAGTCAGTCACTACATATTATATGGAGTATGTGAATCACCCATTGTGATGAACTTGTATTTTATGGAGGAATCTTGATATTTTTTTTTTTTTTAAATGCAGCTTTATTTTTTTTTATTTTTTATTTGCACCCTGTGACCATTCCAGTATCTCATCGATGGATCATTCTTCCTTTTCAAAATAATTATTTGGTGACATTTACTTTTGGATCATTGGACTGAAATTCTTTAAAATCTGAAAATTAGTTGAAAATTATTACAAATAAATAAAAATATAAATTAATTATAAAATGTACTTACAGTTATGATAGATAGTACTGAGTAGATGAATATTAAATATTAAAAAAAAAAAATCTTTTAAAATTAAAGTTCAATATTCAATTTATTCTATTTAAAGAAGTTAATTATTTCTTTGCAGCCCAGTAGCAAATCATCTGCGGTCTGGTAGTTGGGAACGTCTGATCAAGTGGATTTTATTCATTGTGTGTCTGCCAAAAATGATAGACTTTAGCATTGTTGATTTAGTGATTATATTGATTGTATATTATTTGTTAGGTGTTTTTGTTGAAAAAGGTGTAAATGTGGCAAGAGAAGATATGATGCTGTTGAAAAATTAAAGGTGAAATGTAAAAATTGTACAGCAACTATGGAATCGTTGCATCTCAGCCGCTCCTTGAAGCAGTGAGAAACATTTGTCTGTTATTAAATGCAGTGAATGCTAACATCTTAGCAGCTAATGACTTCTATGATGGATTTTCTGTAATGTATGATGACTATGGATGGGTCTGCTAGTTTTCTCTGCAAGCATTGGACATTGAGGCACATGTTCTGAAGATGTTTGGGTAACTCTCTACAATTGATTTTAATGTGTGTATATTTCAGTTATATCTATTTCAGACAAAAACTCTATATGCTTAATTAGCTTCTCAAATGAAAAACTTCCTGTTAAATAAGCCAGATGGCCATACCATAAACTGCTTTTTAATTTTGCTCTCGATTTCTAAGTTGAAATCAATGTGAATATGCCTGATAGATTGGTAAACAAACAAATCCAAAAGCTATCGAAAAGTTGATAGGCTGATTATGAAGGAATGATGCTAGATCTGTGAAATCTTGCATGCATTAATTTTAACTCCTCTTATTAATAATTGCATTGTTTCTTTCCAGGTAAACTGATATCTGACTGTTGAAAGAAGACTTCAAAAGTAACTTGTAGTTTTCTCTTGAAAATGGACAAAATTTGGCATCGTGGTGTTATCACTTAGCTGCAAAAAAGGTGTTTGCTCCCTAAGGACATTCATGCTTGATACATTAGGAGATGATGCTCCAGCTTTATCAAACGTGCAAAAGTGGGCAGTTGAATTTAGGAGGGGAAGGGAGATCCTTGAAGATGATCCAAGGCGAGGAAAACATTGTGTTCATCACATGGTGATGGATGACAGACGACTGACTATGATTCAAATAGCCAATGCTATTAGCATATATTGTGAGAGAGTTTAGAATCTTCTGTACAATGAACTTGGCATGATAAAGATTTCTGTTTTGTGGGAGCCATGTTGTGTGATACCTGATCAAAACCATGAGAAAAATCTGATATTGAATGCAATCTAGCTGGTTTCCTTGAATGTTTCCAAACCTAGGATGAGTGTTGGGTTCATCACTTTCAACCAGAGACAAAATTATGGAATCACACCTCCATCATATAACATCATATCTGCTGTTGATAACTTTTTTTACCGACAGGATGAACAGTTTTTGTTTTTTTAACAATTAGATGTAAGTTTACCTGGAAAGAAAAAAAAAATGCAGTTATTAATAAGAAGAGTTGAAATTAATGCATGTAAGATTTCATAGCTCTAGCATCACTCCTTCATTTGTCAGCCTATGAGCTTTTCAGCCCATACTCATATAGAATGTTCATGAATTTAATATTGATAATGGATGGGCATATTGTTCAAAAGACCTTTATTATCCATTCTCAATTTGTTCTTGTCTGGGAAAACTTATTTTTAATTATTTCTATATATTTATTTAGATTTGGAATTGGTCGTTTCACAACTGAAGAAGAAATTGATTACACAGCGGAAAAGTGCATAAACCATGTTAAATATCTAAGAGAAATGAGGTAAGTAGCTTTTTTTATATATATATATATATAGTTAAGTCTTTGTCACCGAGGCCTGTTGGTATGGTGTTTGCCTCCTATTGTAACTGTTCTGGCTTCAGTTCTTGGTAGTGTATGCGCACTGCTGATGAGTCCCAAATATGAGACGAAACGGCTGTCTGGTGCTTTCTGCATTCTGTTGAAGTTTTTTCTAGACTTGATGAATTACTTAATTATGATAAAAGATATATATATATATATATATATATATATATATATATATATATATATATATATATATATATATACACACACACACAACTCTCAGTCTTTATTCTGCTGATGGTGACTGAGTTTTGTATGAAACTGATATGTGTTGCCAGTGAAGAATGATATGTATAATTAATACATCTGTTATATTACATTTAATCCTATTTTCTTAACCAGCACTCAAATTTGTAGGTCTTATGAATTGGATTGTGATTACAATTCCAATGGAATAAATTATAACCATGCAATATCTGAGCCTTTTATATTATATTCTTGCTGTGTCTTGTAAATAGAGCTCTATGTGGAGTTTATCCTCTTGGGCCAAAAATATATATATGTGGGTTTTGAACAATAAAAAATATTAAAAAATATATTATATATATATATATATATTAGTGGTAAATATACATATGCAATCATATCTCAAATGTATAAATATATACACATACATATATATTTGTATAAAAAATAATTCCAAGAGGATAGAATCCATGTCCAGGACAGAGTAAAGATATTGTGTGTGTATGTCACCACAAAATGTATCCTTTCCGGTTACATCTTTAATGTATTAGACATCCGTGAACATTCATATTTCTCTCACTTAAAGAGGAGAGTCAAAGACGGTTTAAAACTTCTCTCTGTTAAATTTTATTCCCCCCCCTTCCGCCCGGTCGGTGGGGCATCAGAATACGCCGACTGCCCCCCTGCAGAGGGTAAAAGTCCCTCAATGAGGCCACCTGTTGGCCGTGGGTGGCGACCCGTAATGTCTGGGGACGGGATCCTGGTGGTTGAGCAGGTTGTAACCCAGGTGTAAAGCGGTCACAATCCGGTAACACACCACTTTGACCCTTACCTGGGCTAGACGGGCGGTCGGAGGGGCCCGATCCGATCAATCGGCTGGTCATGTCAAGCCCCATCATATATAATCCAACCCAAACCTATAACTGACACTCCTCTTCCCAACCAAAACTAACACTTAACCCTAAATATGTGATGGAAGGCGGTGGCTGAGGGTCAATCAATTTGGGGGAAAAAAGGATCTGACACACTTGCTAAACCTTCACAGCCGTAATACTTGGAAAATGGAAACAAAGGAACATGCGTGCTCAAAGACTCCTCCCAAAGAGAGTATATCATTCACGTAGCCCCGACATGGCAAGGCGAATGGGTTTCCCCCTTGACATGTCCCAATCTGGACTCCGTGGTGGGTAGGGAGCGAGAATGATGAACAAAAATAAAAACAATCAATGGAAAAAAAGAAATCTTCCAAGAGACCACATGTGGATAACGACTCAGAAATAGAGAATGAAAGTGAAAACTTCCCACGGTTTATTGTACTCGAAGCAATAAGCCAAAAATCATTAGCAGAAATTTCTCCGTTTAAAATACAAAAAGCAATATCAAATATCATAATACCAAAAAAGGTTAAAAATTACAAAATGGAACAATACTAATAGAAGTAGAAAAAAAATATATGATGGACATTAATCAGACAAAAAAAACTACAAGAGATAGAAATAAAAAACCTACCCACACCAAACCCTAAATTTCTCAAAGGAGTAGTAAAAAGTAAGGAGCTCTCCTTGTGTACTCTAGAGGAAATAAAAATAGAACTCCAAACTCAAGGAGTTACAAATGTTAAAAGAATAACAATTAAAAAAAATGGAGCTGAGATACAAACTAATACCTACATTATAACTTTCAACTCCCCCCAAATTCCAACTTCAATAAAAATTGATATGAAAGTATAAAAGTAGAACAATACGTACCAAACCCTCTACAATGCTATAAATGCCACAAATTTGGGCATCACAGAGATTCCTGTAGAAATAAAAAAATATGTGGGAAATGTAGTGAGAAAGAACCAGAACATAAAGAAGAGAACTGCCCAAATGAGAGCCTATGCTCAAACTGTTTGGGAAACCACTCTGCCCCTCTCAAAACAATGCAATATATATAAACAGGAGAAAGAAATAATTAGAATAAAATACAAAAAAAATATATCTTACATAGAAGCACGAAAGGAAGTTATAAATAATATAAAAGAAAACACATATGCTTCCATGGCACAAAAAAAAAGCAAATAAAATAAACAATGAAGATAAAATAAAAGGTTCAATTGAAATAACAAATCTATGTAAGGAATTAAAAGCTTTCCTTGAAGAATTAAAACCTTTTTTAACTGAACTTAAATCGGATCAAAATAAAAACTCAACAACCCAGATCAAATGGAATAAACCCAGAAGGAGACAAAAAAATTTTGGAAAGAAAACACAGAACAAAACTCCAGCGAACCCTCTTCTTTTCCAAACCCAAACTAAGAAAATGAAAAATAAACAAAAAGAAAAAAAAAGTGACAACAGAGCAAGAAAGCACTCGATCAAGATCTAACTCAAAATCGAGAATCAGTATATCAAATGAAAATAAATTTGAACCTATGGAATATATAGAAATAGAAGAGAAAGATAATAAACAAAATTCAAAAACAAAATCAAAAAATCTGATCGAAGGACACCACAAGCAGTTGAAGACAAAGCTTCTAAAAACTCAAGAGATGGAAAAAAAAATTGAGAGGACAAATGATACCAACCTAGTAGGTAACTTTACTCCCAAAAAAATGAAAATATAATCATGCCTCATAAGATCCTGCAATGGAACTGTCGTGGAATAAAATCAAATTACAATGACCTACTCATACTTATGTCACTACTGTATCCAGCCGTCATCTGCTTACAGGAAACTTTTTTACAAGAAAATACCAACTTAAAATTAAAAATTATAAACAATACCACTATAACCACAATACAGGACATAGAGCTAATGGAGGAGTGTCAATATTGATCATCAATGACATACCGCAAAGTAAAGTACACATTAAAACTAAATTACAAGCAATAGCAACACAAGTGACACTAGATAAAACCATCACAATTCTTTCCATTTATATACCCCCACAGGAACCAATAAATACAACAGAAATAAACAACTTGATGGAGCAACTTCCCAAACCCAGAACCTTACTAGGAGACTTTAACAGTCATAATCCTATATGGAATAGCAAAAAGCTAGATACTAAAGGTAAAATATTAGAAGAAATAATTAACACCCATAACTTATGTCTATTAAATCATAAATCCTCAACCTACCTTAATCCCTCCAATGGAACAGAATCATCAATAGACTTAAGTATAAGCGATCCAGAAATTTGTATGGATTATACATGGAAAACATATAGTGACATATGTGGCAGGGATCATTACCCGATCATACTAGAATAATCAAAAAGCCTGCCAAGGAAGAAAAGATAGGCCCCGTCAGATGGAAACTGAAAAGAGCCAACTGGGAGGGTTTCAAAAACAAATGTAAACAAGTGCTGATACAGTCAAAGGACACAGACAACTCGGTAGAATACTTTACCAAAACATTAATAACCATTGCCTCAGAAAATATACCAAAAAAAGCAAAATAATTATAAAAAACTAAACCCTGGTTTGACAAAACTGCCAAAAAGCAGTCAGAAACTGGGAAGCAGCATTGCAAAAAAATTCAAGAAGGAACCCACAACCCAAAATTTGATTGAAATGAAAAACTCAAAGCAGTAGCACGGAAAACTGTAAAAAAGAAGCCAAAAAGGAATGTTGGAAAAAATATGTAAACAGCCTAAATACACATTCTAAAACCAAGACAATATGGGAAATGAGGAGGAAAATAGCTGGAAAAAATCAAATACACCCAATAATACATCTTAAAAAGGACAACACTAAAGCAACTAGCAAAAAGAGAGATAGCAAACCTACTAGCAGAGACATTTGCAGAAAACTCTAAAATGAGCAAAAATCAAAACCTACAAAAAGTGTAAACAAAAAAGATATAAATAACCAATTAAATTTTTCATCTAAAATACAGAAGCCTACAACAACCTATTCACTGAAGCAGAACTAATAGAAGCCATAAAAAAATCCCATAATACAGCAGTAGGCCCAGACCAAATCCACTATGAATTTATTAAACAACTACCACAAGAATCGCTGAAATACTTTTGAATATTTTTAACAATATTTGACTACTGGGAAATTTCCCAAAATATGGAGAGAATCGGTAATTATTCCATACTCAAAGAAGGAAAAAAGAGGGAAACAACCCACAAAGTTACCGACCAATAGCATTAACAAGCTGTTTATGTAAGACAATGGAGCGAATGGTCAACGCCAGATTGAGTTGGTTTCTAGAAGAAGGAAAACACATATCAGAATATCAATGTGGATATAATAAAGGAAGAAGTACAATAGATCACATAATAAGACTAGAAACAGCCATAAGAGAGGCCAATTTAAACAAACAAACATCTAATAGCCATATTTTTTGATATAGAAAAAGCATTTGATCAAACCTGGAAACATGGTATAATGAAAGATCTGCATAAACTCGGATTAAGAGGTCGACTACCAAACTTAAGAAAAGGATTTTTAACAGATAGACTCTTCCAAGTACAAATAGATACTACACGTTCTGATTATCAAAAGCAAGAAGAGGGAGTACCACAGGAAGTGTACTCTCCCCTACACTTTTCAAAATAAAAATAAATGACATAATAAAAAACATCAAATCAGGAATACACTGTAGCCTTTATGTTGATGATTTTACAATATATTACAGATCAAGAAACCTCAACACAGCAGAAAGACAACTTCAACAATGTTTACATCAAATAAACAAATGGACACTGAAAAACGGTTTTAAAATATCAAAAACGAAGACAAAATCTGTACACTTCTGCCAAATGAAAAAATTACACAATAACCCAACTCTAAAACTAGGAAATGAAGAAATACCAGTAGTTCAGCAATATAAATTTCTAGGAATGATCTTTGACAGCAAACTGACCTTCAGACCACATATCAATTACCTAAAAAACAAAATCTTTTAAAGCTCTCCAACTACTGCGTAACAGTAGCCCATACAGAATGGGGAGCTAGCAAAGAAACCCTTCTTCTTTTTTTTATAGAACGTTGATCCGCTCCAAACTGGACTATGGCAGCATGGTCTACCAATCAACTAGAAAGTCTTATCTAAAAACAATAAAAACAATACACCATGAAGGCCTTCGGATAGCTCTAGGAGCCTATCCCACCTCACCTATAGAGAGTCTATATGTAGAGGCAAACGAACCCCCCATTACAACTAAGAATGGAGAAACTAGCTACTCAATACTATCTAAAACTCTCTTCCTGTCCTTCTAACCCCACACACGATTGTGTACTTACACCAAATCACAAAGAGAAATTTAATCTTAACACAAATAAAATCAAAACATTGGGACTCTGGATGGAAGGAATCATCCAAGAAAATAATTTACACGCCTAATCAAATACTTAAAACCAACCAATCAAACATACCACCATGGATAATCAAAAATCCAAACATAATATTAAGTTTAAACAAATTATCAAAATCAAAAAAACACACCCACAACATACATTGAAAAAATTCTCAAAATAAAAAGAAAAATATCAAAACTATGAAAGTATTTACACAGATGGATCAAAAGACGAAGAAAAAAAACAGGCAGCGCAGCAATAACAAAAAAAACAATTATCAAAAAACGCTTGCCAAATGAAGCATCAATTTTCAGTGCAGAAGCCCACGCAATAAAACTAGCACTAAATTTCATATCAAAAACAAAGGAGAAAACTATATTATTTTCTCAGATTCATTATCGGTATTAACATCCCTAAAAGGGAAAAGACTGGAAAATCCATTAATACAAAGTCTTCTATATAAACTACATTCAATGGAAAAAGCAAAATATCATCTTCTGCTGGATTCCTAGCCATGTTGGCATCCAAGGAGGAGATAAGGCAGATAATGCTGCTAAATCATCTTTAAAAATGACAATTGATGAAAATCTTCAAATTCCATATACAGACTTAAAATCTAAAATATATAAATACATAAGAAACAAATGGCAAAATCTATGGAAAAACCAAACCGGAAATAAATTATTTCAAATTAAACCGAAAATGGGGAAATGATCTTGGAAATACTCGGAAAAAACAAGTTGTCATAACCAGAACACATATAGGACACATATTTAACTCATTCTCACATATTAAAAAAGACAAATCCACCAAAATGTAGATGTGGAAGCCTAATCACAATAAGACATATTCTATCAGAATGCAAAATCATAACTAGAATAAGACAGAAATATCTCAATGGAAAAGATTTAAAAGAAATATTCAAAAATACAGACACAGAAAAAATATACAGTTTTCTCAAGGAAATAAAAATCCTCAATAAAATATAAATAGTGTATATATATGTGATTATAGACATATATATGCATCTATGAATGTAAACAGTAAAATACACAATCGAAACAGTCACAAAAAGCAATCCCAAAAAATACAGAAAATTATGAAACCCAACAACCTTTCAACTTTTTATACAAAATAACCAACTTAAATTCATAAATTAATAAGGCTTCGGCATAAATTGACCCAAATAGGAGTTGACATGCCGTTAAATCCAACATCCATCCATCACCCCCCCTTCATCTTTTAGACCCTTTGTTCTTCTCTTGTCTGTTTCCCTATATCTTTCTTTTTGTCATTTGTCCCACCCCTCCCTATCATAAATTTTTTTTTTATACCCGGAGTTGTTTTTTCTGTTTTCTTTTTGAATTTGTCTGATGAACATTTATGATTCCAATGGAATAAATTATGACCATGGAATATTATCACCTTTTTTTATATATATATATATATATATATATATAAATTTTATTTTTTATACCCGGAGTTGACGAAAACAAAATTTTATTCTAAATGTTTGTTATTATTAAGAGGAAAGACCAAAGTTTTTTTTTTAATTATTTTTAAAAAATTTTCTTCTTTTTAGAACATTTAAATTTTGATTAAAAAACCTTGTTTGTATCAGCGGAACTAGTAAATAACATAGACAATTTTTAGCACGATTTTGGTATGACACACATTAATTTGAAAAATCGTGCAAAAATAGAAATAATTATCGGATGTTAATGAAACTTTCAGAAACTATTCACAGATGATCGAAATTATTATAAATATGTTTTTTTTATGAAAGTCATGGTAGAAATATTTTTTTAAATATTTATTACCCCCCCAACTAATTTTATGAAAACGCTAGAAATTCGAAAAGATCGGTTTTAGTGATTACAATAATTAAAAGCACAGGGCTTTGAGGAATGCAAATCATGTTTTTTTTGTTTTTAATTGGATACGCAGTACCTGAAAATCAGCTCTGAATTGTAACATACAAAACTCAATAAAACAAAGATATTATTTAATTTCAAACGCTTTTATTTGCTTTTAGTTGTTTTTATGAATATGGACAATATTTTCTGAAAGCCAAAAAATTTTTTCGATGAAAAATGAATTTTTAATAGAATTATATGTTATTTCCTCTTAATATAGGTACCTCCACAAGATCGCTAAAAAAAGAGCATAGCATGATGAAAAAGACGCCAAACTTGACGAAAACAAAATTTTATCGTCTAAATGTTTGTTATTATTAAGAGGAAAGGTCAAAGTATTTTTTTGGGGTTTTTTTCCATTTTTTAATCGTTCCTAGCACGTCCGAAATTTTCGTTAAAAATCTAGTTTTTTTTTTGAGTCAGCAAAATTGACCATTTTTTTCCATTTTAAAAAAAAACTGGAAATCTGACTTTGAAATTTAGAATGTTCTAAAAAGAAGGAAAATTTTTTAAAAATAATTAAAAAAAAACTTTGGTCTTTCCTCTTAATAATAACATAAGCATTTAGACGATAAAATTTAGTTTTCGGGCAAGTTTACGCTTTTTTCATCAAGCTATGCTCTTTTTTTAGCGATTTCGTGGAGGTACCTATATATATATATTTAGAAAGTATTCCAATGGAAGGACATAAATTTCTTTTATTAATGTTTAATCTTACTTTCCCTTTTAATATTCTCTAATTAGAAATGTGAGATTGAAATTTTTTATCATCTGGAGGTAATTTCATTTTAAATTGATAATTTAATTTAAATATATCACTCTTTAACTATAAATATTGATAGTAAAATATTAAAATTAGAAATATTCTTTTTGATATTTAAACACTTAAGTCATCACCTAACGTTAAACATTAACTGTGAAATTAAAGAGAAATTTAAATAGATATAAATATGTGTAATTTGTAAATGTATGTGTAAGTATTTATATATGAATATATATATAGGTACATATATATATAGGCCTATGTGTGTAATTGCAGATGTAAAATTTACATAAGTGTATATGTGGGATATATATATATATATATATATAAAGAAAAAAACAAAATCTATATAATATTACCTTCAAATGTTACTCCATCTTAATTTGAAACCTAAACTTTAAGTAAGGAAGATTACCCATCTAAAAATAGTTACAAATTACATTCATGAATTAAATTCAAACTGATAAAGACAGTCATTTACAATATTAAAAGATTACTATCAGTAAACTGTTATATTTTAAAAAATTCTTTTAATGTGTTTTCTATGAATGTGTTAATAAATACAGTACTTAAGTTTTATTAAATCCCTAAATTATTTGTAAAAGAGTTAAATATTTAAATTGCTAGCAAGCATCAAATTAATTTCTTTTTTTTTTTTTTTGAACATTTAAATTACTATCAAACATTAAAATCTATTATTTTACATAAATTGCTAAAAATATACCACCCCTCTTTTTCCTACGTAAAACCTAATTACAGCTTCTGTCTCTTTACTTCCCCCTTCTTTCTTTTTCTCTCTTCTCCCCCTCCCATTTCAATATATCACTTCCGTTAAGTTAACCATTTAAATACGTCAAGGTCTGGTCCCTCCTCCCCCACTACTAAGTATGATCAAAAGAAATATTAAAATAAGTCCTCTCTAAACTCAACCCTGTCTCTCACACCACTCCTTGCTACCCTCTCTGTTAAATTACATAAACTTAATACTACCCGTCAAAAGTGTGAATTTTCATTTCATTTTTTGTTTCATTTTTTGGAAGTGTTATCTGATGATCCAGCGTGCCTTAAAAGGGCTCTGGTGAAATAAATTATTATAATGGAAGCTTAAAGTGGTCTGTTTTTCTTTAAATTATTAGCTCTGGATTTACATTGAGCTCTCAGGATTTCATCCTCCTTGGGACTACCCATATGGATTACCAAGTTTTTCATAACTTAAAATATATATATATATATATAAATCAATAATCTTGTTTTTTTTTTTTTTAAATATTTATGAACCTGAATAATCCTTGACATTTTTTCCCTTGCTTCTCTTTTCAGTCCTCTGTGGGAAATGGTACAAGAAGGCATTGATCTCAAGTCTATTAAGTGGACTCAGCATTAAATGTAGAAAACCTCTGCCTTCTTTTCTTTTGTAAATGGCCAATATTGTTAGTTTTCTCTCATATCACAAAGAAAATAAAAGTTTGATGTTTTGTACAAATTAGATTTTATTTCTTATCTTTACTTTTTTTAAAAAATAGGATATTACCCAACCATGCCAACTGATGTTCCCTATTTGGTTAGGAAATGTTGTCATAGTAATTATATGCAGCTGTTTTTTTTTTTTTTTTTTTGATTTTTTTCATACACAAAACATTGCAAAATTAGATAATACTGTTTTTTTTTTTGTTTTTTTTTACTGTATGGATAAATGTGATCAAAAGATAAAATTTGCCAGCATTCATGAAATATTTGTTTATGATATTTCTGTAATGTCAAATTAATGCTGTCCAAAATTCTCAATAAGCCTGTTTATAATACAAAACTGTAAAAACAGAAATATTTACATTTTTCATTGTTAAGTTGAAATAATAAATAACCTCAATTTTCATGGAGTGAGTAGATATGGTTAAATGTGAGAACAAGCAAATGTAATGTTCCGACTCCAGGACAAGATAGACCAAAACTGAATCAGATGAAACCCAGAACCAGCCTATTTTAAAGCTCAAATTAATTTGAACTTGCTAATTCACTTATTGCATCAAATGACTTCCTTTTTTTTTTTTTTTTTTTTGCTTGGATAAATTTTTCTGAAATAATAAAGAAATAAATTCATGAAAATATTAAAGGAATTTCCTGATTCTTGTGAAATCTCAACTTCATGTCACATTATGATACAAAATACATTATTGCAAATTTAGATAGAAAAACATAATTTAACACAAGCAGTAGCAACACCAACCTACACTAGCAGAGGACAAAAATGAAGACATTCTAGACAGAAATGAACAAATGTCCTGAAAATTTCTCAGCCTAACCAAGAAGGCTGTCCTAAAAATGGTCAGAGTTTTGGAAGTTGATTCGGCTGAGAGTTTATCAACAGCCCCTCAGAGGTTGAGTGACATGTCTAAATCAGATTGATACATTTTGTAACATAATGAAGAATTTGGCATGAAGCCTGATATTTGACAATTTGAAACCAAAACACGACTGGCATATGTTAGAAGGTATTTGAAAATGAATTTCAAATGTTTACACTATTTGTCTATATTTCTAAGATGAGGTATTATGTACACTATTTACATTGTTTGGACTATCATCCTCATCTTTGTTGCCATATTTATCACAATGTTTCAGACTTCTTCAGGTGGTTGGAATGCCGAACTGAACCCTTTATTTCGCTCGATGGGGTAGACTGTTCTAGTGCCATGTCTAATGGATGTCAGTTATCTCCTGTTAATTCTCCTCTCCCAGTTCTCCACTGCCTTAAGCAGGTATTGAACTCACACTCTTTGGGTCCTGTCACTGGATCTAACACCTTGATCGACTGTGCCATGTGTCACTATTTACATGCCAAGTATTGGACTTGGTGGAAACAGTGCAAGCAATCTGAGCAATAATAAAAATAAAAACTAGACAAAGGGCAGTGGAACAAGAACAGTCCCCATCTTAGATTAAATAAAGGGTTCAGTTCAGAATTCCCTGTAAGTTACCCAGATTGATATCACACCTAATGAAGGCCAGAAGCACAACTGAAACATACTAACAAAGATGAGGACAATAGTCTGCATGTAAATAATGATATCTCTGCATCCGAGAAATCCAGACAGAACTTCAATGTGATTTTTACTGGAACAGATTGCAACTTGACTTGCACTCTACCAAAGAATGTGTACTGTTTTAATAAGGAAGGAAGGAGGTTTTGAACTGGAATTGTAAAAGATAAGTCTGTTGAACCTTGGCATGTATGAGACAGAGTATAAAAAAAAAAAAATGATTTTCTAGGCATATATCGATTTTTTTTTTTTTTTTTTAAGGAAAATGTTCAGCCTTTGTTTCTGAAGAAATCTCCACTTATATACAAAACTTACTTTCCTACAAGACAATGCTCATTCACACATTAATGAACTAGTCAGCATTTCTTTCATATCTAAACCCAATTGAAAACCTTTTGAAGATTCTCAATAGAAATGTTATTTGAGAAATGGCAAAGAAAACTATAAGGCAGCATTTGGAAATAGCTCTTGTATGGACCATAAATGCCAAAAATGCTCTTCACAGCTTTCATTGAGTTTAGCCGAAATCAACTTCTGGAAGAAACCTCAACTTCTTTTCTAAATGATACTCACTCAGAAGAGGTTTCAATTAGTGAAAATGTAAAAAGTACCTTCAATACTATATATGTTGCCAAAAAATGCTTTCTTAGCACTAGTTAAATTAACTTGTCTGTTCATTAACAAAAAAAAAGCAGGAAAAATCTTTCTTGTAACATTCATTAGACTTTCCTCTCCTCACAAGATTTGTTAGAAGTAAAATTTGGTTCCTAATGTAAATAGTGTCAAATCAAAGAATGTCTTTTTTACTTTGTCTTTATTTACAAATGTCAAGGTTGAAATGGCTTACAGAATTAATAACTGTATACTATTACAAATTGGGAAGACAGACATCAGTAGTACACATTTATCAATGACATACACACAGTTTAAAACATGATATTGATTGATTGGTTTTTATAGCTTATCAACCCATTACAGGTTATTTAAGTCTAGAAAATATTTTTAGATTCTAAAATAATTTTTTTTTTTTTTTTTTTTAGATAATAATGGTTAAATGATACAAGTCTTATTAATTAACCCATAACTGGAGGGAGAATAGATTGATTCATACCTTTCCCAAGATAATTGTGCATAAGTAAATATAACAAACCCAATAGAAATTGGAACTCATCTCTTTGATTAATAATTCTGAGCCAATATCCATTACACCACTGACATACCCAAACTTACAACACCTGGTATTCCGAAACAGTCATCCATCTAGGTATTGACCCAACTCAATGTTCCTTAACATTAATGATTGTACAGAATTGGTATTTCAACGGGATGCAGTAGTAACCCCTTGACTTTTGTAAATAAAAACAAAGTACAGATAACTCTTTAAGATCAGTTTGACACTGTATTTATATTATGAAGAAGACCTTTCTAAAAAGATAAAAAAACAATATTTGTTGGTTCTAACAAATGTCATGGAGAGGGGAATGTCTGATTAATGCTACTCACCCCATATATTTTCCCTGTTTTTTTTTATGAGTGCACCAGTCAATTTAAGTAATGTTTATTTCTCAAGTGTAAGTCTTCAGAAAAATTAAGGTGTATATTTTGTCATCAAATCTTGACCAGTATGGCACAGTCTTATAGAGACATGGTTCTTGAGAAAAGGAATGAAGAGTCATTGGCTGAAAGTATAAGCAAAGCCTTGTTAAAAGGTAAGTATAGAAGAAATTACACATCTGATACAATATTCAATCCTGGCTGTAACAGGATAGAGCTATGGAAGAAAGATTTATTGTTCCATTGTATTTCCCTCATTATGGGCATTATTATATCCATGATATAACACTGTAATTCATGAATGGAACAGAATGTCATTCTTTTTCCTTTCAGACAAACATGCTTTGTTCTCAGAGAGACTTTTATACTACTAAGATGCACAAAATTATACATACATATATACACATGTTCCACACAGAGAATAATATATCACATATATCTACACAGCAGAGTGTAAGGAAAAACAAAAAAGAAGGATCTTACATATAATATGGAGATACTCCTGTATCTGGAGATGTTTAGGACTCCAGATTCAAATGTGCCGGATTTATCTATGCCCCAGGCAAGGACATATTCCATGAATGGGGAAACAGCTAGTCTTGGGTTTTCCAAATTGAGCCGGAGTTTCTTTCTATAACAGGGAAAGAAATATTCCCAAAGGGAAAAAGCACCATGGGCTTGTAAGCTGCTGGGGTGGCTGATTTAGCCTTCACCCAGGCTATGGGGTGGGGAGCAAGCTAAAGAAAGCAACTACTCTCTTGGGCTGCTGTAAAATAAATTGAATTTGACTGCCACTATGGTCATTGTATGGAGTGATCTCACTAAGCAGCCGTCCTGTGACCCACATGATTTATCTCAACCAAAGGGAGATAATCACCTTTTGTATCCCGACACTGGAGAGTCAGTGCATACTACCCTCAAACCGCCTGATTGGGTACCCCAAGCAGTGCTTTGAGACCCCCATAATCTTATCAAGATTACAGACTTAATAAAAGAAATATACAACAGTGGTGGTATACTATGCAAATCTATTTTCATAGAACTGCCTAAGAAGCCATGTGCAAATTAACATAAACTCCATCAGGCAATAAACCTAATGAGTCATATAACAAAACTTATCCTAATTCTAATGAATTGAGTGCACAATAGAATTTTTTTTTCTTTTTTAAGCATTACGCCCCGAGCAAGGCGTGAAGCCACTAGGATGCAGGGGGTTGAGGAGGGATAGTGGATAGATCAAGGTAACTGGAGATGTCGATTGACATTACATTTGAATAGTTGGAGATTATAGTTCTCAGGGAAACAGTAATAGGGAAGGGTGTTCCACAGGTGAGAGGTATGAAGCTATTGGAGTAGAAGAGACGGCTACATTTAGTAGTTTCTACAGTGAAAGGGTGAGAGCGGGATGCCAGCCTCGTAGGGCGCTTGAATTCATGAAGTCTGGGAACCAGTGAAAGCAGCTCATTGGAGCAATTACCATGAAAGTATTTGTAAAAAAGACAGAGAGAGGTGACGGCACATCTGTGTGAGAGCAACTGCAGACGAGATGCCAGATCAGGGCCAATTATATTACATATCCGCCTCTGGATCTTGTCAAGAACTCCGACGTAAACAGAAGGTGCACCAGACCATATAGGGCGAATGGTTGATTTGTATATTTGAAGTATCGATTCCGGGGAGAAAAATTTCCTGGCGCGGCACAGAGAGCCAACTTTCCACACGCTGGAAGAAGCAATTGACTCAATGTATTTGTTCCATCTCAGGTCAGCAGTCAACGTGAGACCGAGCACAC